AAATCAGAAGAACAATTGCCTCCATAAAATCTAGACGTGTTAAAAAGATTATAAAAATTGTCTCATTTTCATTTAAGACTTCGAGTGGGAATAGCCTTTCCAAGCAAGACACAAAGCTAAGCCAGAGGAGAATAATGCAGCGTTTCATGTAACACGGATGAGGAGGAACCAGTGAAAGTTCACCAGCAGGGAACAGGCTAAATGTACCGTGGAACAACTTTTCTAGAGAACATGCTACAACAATGAAAAAGCATGAGAAGGGCAGAGTTAGGGGATCTGTCAGTGCAGAAATCTGTAAGGCAGAGTTAGAAAGTTGCCAAATAATTTGTATGGTATGACCTCATTTATGTTAAAAAACAAAATTCTAACTATAGTAGTTTCTACATATGTATATAAACATAAAAACATCTGAAAGAACACACATGAACATTAAGTGTTGAATGAAGAGGAAACCTACTACGATGACGTAAACCAAAAAAGGTGGCAGGAGAGTTCATATAAACTATAACCTTCAGTTACTAATGTATCAATATCGGTTATCAATTTTAACAAATGTAACATAATACAGCACATAAATAATAGGGAAGGGGGAAGGCAGGGGTAGTATGTAGGGAGCTCTCTACATACTCTACTTTTTGATAAATTTTTCTGTATACCTAAAGCTATCTTTAAAACATTAAGTCTATGAGGCCAGGGGTTTGAGACCAGCCTGAGCGATATGGTGAGACCTTGACTCTACTTTAAAAAAAAAATTAGCTGGGCTTGGCAGCATGCACGCACGGTCCAACCTGCTCGGGATGCTGAGGTGGGAGGACTGCTTGAGCCTAGGAAGTTGAGGCTGCAGTGAGCCATGATCGTGTGACACTGCACTCCAGCCTGGGCCACAGAGCAATACCTTGTCTTAAAAAAAAAAAAAAAAAAGGGCCAGGTGTGGTGGCTCACACCTGCTGTAATCCCAGAACTTTAGGAGGTCAAGGCAGGCAGATCACAAGGTCAAGAGAGACCATCCTGGCCAACACCGTGAAACCCTGTCTCTACTAAAAATACAAAAATTAAATTAAAAAATAAAATAAATTAAAAATACAAAAATTAGCTGGCTGTGGTGGCACGCGCCTGTAGTCCCAGCTAGTCGGGAGGCTGAGGCAGGAGAATCCCCTGAACCCGAGAGGCAGAGATTGCAGTGAGCCGAGATCGCACCTCTGCCTGGTGACAGAGTGAAACTCCGTCTAAAAAAATCCGAAAAACTTAAGTCTATTAGTTATGGGGTGTGGGAAGCAGGAGGAAGAAACAGCATTCGTTAGTGCCCTTTGGGAACTAGGGGCTTCACCACCTCTGATCACAGGACTGCTAAATAAAAGAACCTGAGGCCCTAGCATGACTGTCATTGTCATTCAGAATCAAGTGCGGCATTCACTGTATCTCAGGAGGAAGGAAAGTGGCCGGGGCAGGGGCAGCAATGTACAATGGTTTTTACACTTGTTCCCAGCGATTTGCAGAAAAAAGCAGGTGCACCGCGTGATCCTCCACGTCACTTTTCTTTTCCAAGTAGGAACTCAGAAGTTTGCCGATTTCCGTTGATCTTTCTAGAAAAAAAGAGAAACACACAAAATACAAGTGAGATCAGGCTTTCCCTCTACATGACAATATAGTTTGGGCTGAATTTCTCCTGGACTCAAGTCTCACTTTGAGTTTTACTTTACTAAATCTCTAGACAGGTTTGGCTCTTCTGCGGAAGTCAAAGGAATTTCTCTGAGAAAGAACAGCAATCTGCAGACAAGCTGGGATGAAAAATGCTTTAGGAAAAAAGAACTCGGGAAGAAAGTGGAGACTTCAAAGCAAGCATTTGTAAAATTTGTGGACTGGGTGGCCTAGGATTAAGGTCAATGCTTCACTTGAAAACTTTAAAATATATGCTATAAAACCCCTGAAAGCGCGAACAGTCATCAAACAAAACACAACACCCGAAACATCCACAAAAATGACACATGGACTACAAAAGAACTGGAGGAAACTTTTGGGGTCGAGACCACGGTTTCGCGCGGGTTTACACGTCAGTCATCACCATACCCCGCACTTCAAGACACGCGGCGTGGGCCGGGGGCGGTGGCGCGCGCCTGTGATCCCGGCTACTCGGGAGGCTGAGGCGGGAGGATCGCTTGAGCCCGGGAGGTCCAGGCTGCCGTGAGCCGAGATGGCGCCACTGCATTCCAGCCTGGCCGACACGGCGAGAGCCCATCTTTTAAAATAAAAACCGCGCAGTTCACAGCACGTCGACCGCAGGCAACTAAGCTTAGGAGCAAAGAGTCCCTGGGAAGGCAGAGGCGCCGAAAGCCGCCGCGCACCCCCACCCGCCGCGCGCACCCACCCGGGAACCGGAGAAGTTCGGCGCGGTGGCCCGCGGCGCACAGCGTTTCCACCAGCTTGCGGCTCTGCGTGCTCTTCCCCGCGCGGTCCACGCCCTCCAGCACTATGAGAGCCCCGCGCCGGGCCGCCATGACTGTCCACCGCCCGCCCCCTGCGTCTCCACACCTCCTTCCGGAGCTCCCATTGGCCGGCATCAACAGCGCGCACCGTGATTGGCTCGCATTTCCCGGCCTCAGCCGGATTCGAAGGGATTGGCCGGGGCTGGGGCGAGGGCGACGCGCTGTGGGACCGACACTCGCGCCTGCGCCCTGGGCCTTGCCGGCACTGGAGCAGCGTCCTGGGCTTCCGGGGCGGAAACCGGTGCCCCGTGTCCCGTGCGGGCCTCCGTCCTCGGGCTAGCAGAGCCTTTCGCTTCGGGAGAGCCGGTGACGCCGCGCGGGCTGGATGGCTGCAGACGCTGGGTCAGGGCGCGGACGAGCGGGGGGCAGGGTCGGAGGGGCTCCCGGGCGCTGCCCGGGCAGCGTCGCCTCTCGTTGGCTCCTGGCTGCGCGCAGCGGGCCCGACTCACGGCCCTGCGGTGCCCGCTGCACGCGCGAGGGCTCCGGTCCCGCGGCGCGCGAGACGCACGAGCGAGATGCCTTCCGAAGCGCGGGGCCCGGTGCCCAGGCTCAGCCGGGGCGCCTCCCAGAGCTCACCTGGAGCCCACCCCGACTGCGTTCTGGAAACGCTGTGTTTGACAGCAGGGGCAGGATAGGGGGCTGTGTAGACACTGGCTACCTGGCAGTTGTAGTAAAACCGTGGGGTTGATAAATGTTCACCATTGTTCCTGAAGCGCAAAACTGCAGGGCTCTGAAAAGTCCGTGTGTGTGTTTGTGTTGTTGTTTTGTTGTTGTTTTTTGTTGTTCTTTTGTTTGAGACGGAGTCTCGCTCTGCCGCCCAGGCTGGAGTGCAGTGGCGCGATCTCGGCTCACTGCAACCTCCGCCTCCCGGGTTCAAGCCATTCTCCTGCCTCAGCCTCCCGAGTAGCTGGGACTACAGGCGCCGCCACCACACCCGGCTAATTTTGTGTATTTTTAGTAGAGGCGGGATTTCACCGTGTTAGCCAGGATGGTCTCGATCTCCTGACCTCGTGATCCTCCGCCTCGGCCTGCCAGAATGCTGGGATTACAGGCGTGAGCCACCGCGCCAGGCCAAAAAGTCCGTTTTAAAAGATGATGTATACAAATTATAGCACGGAGAGAGAACGGGCAAGTTGTTTCCTCTTTCCATGCCTCCAACTCCTCTGAAATGTGGGTCATGATGGTAAGAGGAAAAACTGTCTCTGCTATAGAGAGGTGGAAAAAGTCCCGCGAAGTGTCCCTGGCATCTAGAAAGCGCTCAGTCGTGTTTGCTGTTATCTTAGGGATATCTGGCTGCCTGGACATTTCTCAGATGAGACTTTTTGTTATTTTAGATACCTAAATTACTATCTTTATGTGCCAAATTGTCGGTTGTCAGCTAGACCTCACTTTCTGCTTAGCAGAAGAAAAGGTAGGAACTGCATTTCCCAGAATCATCTGTGTAGCTCTGTATTACAGCCTGCCAGAGAGAGGCACTCATACCTTTGGAGGTGATTATTCTTGGGAGGCACTCTCAGCCAGAAATATAGATGAAATTCAAGGCTGTTTGCTAATGAGCTTTTGAGAACCACCTGCCTCACTGATGTAGACCAAGAGATTGCTGGTAGCTTTCTAGTGTTGAGTTTGCATTGGCTTTGCCATGAGCTCTTGAGACCTCCACCCACTTCAGTGCTTTGGGCTGAGGTCATTGGCAACAATTTCCCTGACTTTGCTCCCAGCCTTTGTGTAAGCCCATTATCACTGCATACCTAGAGTAGCTTTGTGTTTTCCAGTAGCTGAACCCTGCCCAATTCAGTTTGGGGTTCTGGAAGGATATGGGTTATATTATTATTACCAGTTATGCCCTTTTTTCCTTTTTAATTTACTTTTATTTTTATTTTTTTTGAGATGGAGTCCTGCTCTGTCGCCCAGGCTGGAGTGCATTGGCGCAATCTCGGCTTACTGCAACCTCCACTTGCCGGGTTCAAGCGATTCTCCTGCCTCAGCCTCCTGAGTAGCTGGGATTATAGGTGCCTGCCACCACCCGCCTGGCTAATTTTTGTATTTTTAATTTATTTTATTTTTTAATTTAATTTTTTTTTTTTTTTGAAACGGAGTTTCTCTCTTGTGGCCCAGAATGGGGTGCAATGGCATGATCTCGGCTCACTGCAACCTCCACCTCCCGGGTTCAGCCTATTCTGCCTCAACTCCCAAGTAGCTGAGATTACAGGCGCCTGCCACCACGCCCAGCTAATTATTGTATTTTTAGTAGAGATGGGGTTTCACTATGTTTGCCAGGCTGGTCTCGAACTCCTGACCTCGGGTGATCCACCCATGTCAGCCTCCTTAAGTATTGGGATTACAGACGTGAACCACCGCACCCGGCCTGCCCTTCCTTGACGTCCAGCTTAGCTGTGAGACTTCCAAATGGTGATGTAAAGTATTCTGCTGTCTTGTGCCCCGTTCAGGCAGAAGCTCTAAAAGGTGTTTTGTGGTTTAGTCCCTCCCTTTCTGCCCCCAGCATGAACACAGCATGTGCACAGTGAGAGCTGATTTTTCACCCCAGATCCTGTAACAAAGGCACGTGAAGTACAGCCGTCAGCAAGAAGTAAGCCATTGTGATTTCGAGTCACTGAGACTTCGGGATCCTTTGTTACCACAGCACAACCTAGCGAACGCTTACAAGTACTAAGAATGGTACTTATTATTCTCTTACATAGATAATCAAAGTAATATCCCTTTTTTCTGATTGATACCTCCTTATAAAATACCATCTTGTTGCCCTCCAAAGGATGAAGGGGATTGTAGTAAGGAAGACCACGTTCCCGGGGCTGGGCGAGGCTGCAGTACTGCCTCTTGTCAGGTCCAGGAGGACTCAGCAGGCTGATGAGGAGGAACACAGGGCATCCGTGTTGGTGCATGCATGGCTTTCCTGGCTCCCCTGGGACGGGAGGAAGGTGAGGATGGAGGGAATCTGGCTGGCTGGGCCTTGTTTACTGGGGAGTGGAGGACCCTTTTGACTGCAGGGATTGCTGAAGCACATGAGCATCTTGAAGTGTGTTAATAAGATACAAGAAACACTTTTCCTATTCCAGCACGGTGTACCTCTCGTAGGATGCTTTTTAGCACAGGTAGCGGAATACCAGCCAGCCCACTGTGGCTCAGAGCATTAAGGTATTCAGTCATCTGACATTATATGAAGTCCAGTGTTAGGCAGGAGCTCTGTGACTCAGGACATCAGGTTGGTCCACATTCTAGCAGTTCTCTTGGTGTTCCTGCCTGATCACAGGATGACCGCCACACCCCGGCCTGCTGACCTCAGTCCTGGCGTGGGCGTAGGAGGGTCTATGTGGCTGAGAATCCAGTGTCCTTCGTACTGCCACGCTGACAGCCTCAGCCTGATTTCCAGCACTGTCTGTCCTGGAGCAATGGGTGCGAGAGTCACTCCACAAGACCCTGGAGGCCCGATAGGCGAGTAGATCCACTTCATGGGTGAAATGTGGGATGCTGGGTCTGTGTGGTCAGAGATAATAGGTGAAATGGAGTTGGCCACAGGCTGATAATTGCAGAAAGATGCAGGTGGACACATGGGTTCATTAGGTTCTCTGCTTGCTTGCTTTTTTTTTTTTTTTTTCTCCAGACAGAGCCTCGGTCTGGGGACATTTGGATTGGGATGGGGGTACTAACAGCATCTAGTGGGTATAGGCCAGGGATGCTGGGTAAACATCCTATGAAGCATGATGTGGCCCCACACAGTGAAATGTCATCAGACCCAAAGTGTCCCTTGTGCCAAGGTTGAGAAACTTGCTCTAAGCAGACCACAGCAGGCACGAGCCATCTCTCTGGCAGTTTTGTTTTGTTTTTTTTCCAGACAGAGTTTTGCTCTTGTTGCCCAGACTGGAGTGCAATGGCGCAATCTCGGCTCAATGCAAACTCTGCCTCCCAGGTTCAAGGGATTCTCCTGCCTCAGCCTCCCAAGTTGCTGAGATTACAGGTGCCACCACCACGCCCAGCTAATTTTGTATTTTCGGTAGAGATGGAGTTTCACCATGTTGGCCAGGCTGGTCTGGAACTCCTGACCTCAGGTGATCCACCTGCCTCAGCCTCCTAAATTTAGTATTGGGATTACAGGCGTGAGCCACTGTGCCTGGCCCTCTCTGGCAGTTTCTAAAATAAGGTCCCTTCAAAAGTGTTTGCCAGTTTTGTGTGTGTGAATGAAAGAAGACAAATTGGTCTCTGGGAGAGTTATATTTAATATATGATATGTGAGGGCCAATAACCCTTAATAATAAATATATTTTTTTAGACAAAATACATGAAGACCAGTTTCTACATAGAGAATCAGTAAAAGATGGCTGGGCGCGGTGGCTCACGCCTGTAATCCCAGCACTTTGGGAGGCCGAGGCGGGCGGATCACGAGGTCAGCAGATCGAGACCATCCTGGCTAACACGGTGAAACCCCGTCTCTACTAAAAATACAAAAAATTAGCCGGGTGTGGTGGCGGCGCCTGTAGTCCAGCTACTGGAGAGGCTGAGGCAGGAGAATGGCGTGAACCCGGGAGGCGGAGCTTGCAGTGAGCCAAGATCGCACTGCTGCACTCCAGCCTGGGCGACAGAGCGAGACTCTGTCTCAAAAAAAAAAAAAGAGTCAGTAAAAGATATAAAGCAGAAAAGGATGGAAGAACTACAAATAGGCAACAAATATGTTTAAAAAATGTTTAGCTTCACTTAAAATGAAATAAATATGATTAAGACATTTAAGGTTGGCTTCCCCCCCCACCCATGAGTTTAGCGAAGGTTAAAAATTTTAAAAGCCTGATGAAATCTAGGGTTGGCCGAAGTATGGAAAACACAACCAGTGGCCATGCCGCTTGGTGTAACCTTCCCTTTGGGCAATTCATTTAAAAGTATCAGCCCTTAAAATGTGCAATACTAGGCCAGGCATGGTGGCTCATGCCTGTAATCCCAGCACTTTGGGAGGTCAAAGTGGGTGGATCACGAGGTCAGGAGTTCGAGACCAGCCTGGCCAACATAGTGAAACTCATCTAATAAAAATACAAAAAAAATTAGGCTTGGTGGCGGGTGCCTGTAATGCCAGCTACTCGGGAGGCTGAGGCAGGAGAATCACTTGAATCTGGCAGGCAGAGGTTGCAGTGAGCTGAGATTGCACCACTGTACTCCAGCTTGGGCAAAACAGACTCTGTCTCAAAAAAAAAAAAAAAAAAAAAGCAATACTCTCTGAGCCTGCAGTACTGTTTCTTTCTTTCTTTTCTTTTTTTCTGTTTTGAGAGGCGCCCGGCCCTACCAGTTCTTTAGAAAAAATTATTAGAAATGTACTGCAGGCCAGGCGAGATGGCTCACGCCTGTAATCCCAGCACTTTGGGAGGCCAAGGTGGGTGGATCACGAGGTCAAGAGATCAAGACCATCCTGGCTAACATGGTAAAACCCCGTCTCTACTAAAAATACAATAAATTATGTGAGGCTGAGGCAGGAGAATCGCTTGAACCCAGGAGGTAGAGATTGCAGTGAGCTGAGATCACGCCACTGCACTCCAGCCTGGCAACAGAATGAGACTCCATTGCAAAAAAAAAAAAAGGACTGGTGAGACAATGTGATATCCTTGCTCCTCCTCCCATTGTTCGGTAGGGGTATAATGTTTCTCCCATTCAATCTGGGTTGGCCCCAGTGACTTGCTTGACCAATAGAATGTAGTCAGGTGATGTCTTGGGGCTACCAAAGTGAGGTCACCCAGGCGACTTCCACCCCAGCCTCCTGGGACTCAGACCTCCTGCTGCTGAGACTGCTGTGCTGGAGAGGCCACACGTGGGTGTTCTGGCCCACGGTGCCAGCTGACGTCAGCCTTCTAGCCACCCCGGTGATCTCTGTTCTGTCACACTGGACAGGATTACCCAGTGGAGCTGCTGAAATTCCTGGCACACTGTCACACGTAACAAAATGGTTCTGGGCCGGGCATGGTGGCTCACGCCTGTAATCTCAGCATTTTGGGAGGCCGAGGTGGGTGGATCACAAGGTCAGGAGTTCAAGACCAGCCTGGCCAATTGGGTGAAAGCCCATCTCTGCTAAAAATACAAAAAGTATCTAGGCGTGGTAGCACACGCCTGTAGTCCCACCTACTCAGGAGGCTGAGGCAGCGGAATTGCTTGAACCCAGGAGGTGGAGGTTGCAGTGAGCCGAGATCGTGCCACTGCAGTCCAGCCTGTGTGACAGAGCAAGGTTCTGTCTTAAAAAAAAAAAAAAAAAGTTTTTTTAAACAACTAGGTTTTCAGGAGTCTGTAAGGCGGTCTGTAAGGCGGTGATACATAATGGTGGCAGATACACGCAGTTATATGTATAGCCATGTTCATTAGAGCATGATTTATGATACTGAAAGATTGGGGACATCTGTAAGGAGTTTGTTGAAGTCTGATACGCCACCACAATAAAATAAATCTAGTCAATGGGACAAAGCAGGGTGAGTAAAGCAGGGCCAGATGTTCACAAGGAGTATTCAGCTAAAAACGTAAGTCAGCTCACACCTGTAGTCCCAGCATCGCGAAGGCCAAGGCAAGAGGATTGCTTGAGCCCAGCAGGTCAAGCTGCAGTGGACTGTGATCACACCACTGCACTCCAGCCTGTGACAATGTGAGAGCCTGTCTCAAAAAACAAAACAGGCTGGGCTCGGTGGCTCACGCCTGTAATCCCACCACTTTGGAAGGCTGAGATGGGCAGGTCATGAGGTGAGGAGTTCGAGACCAGCCTGGCCCCACGTAGTGAAACCCCGTCTCTACTAAAAATACAAAAAATTAGCCGGGTGTGGCGGTGGGCGCCTGTAATCCTAGCTACTCGGGAGGCCAAGGCCGAGGAATCGCTTGAACCTGGGAGGTGGAGGTTGTAGCAAGCTGTGATCTCGCCACTGCACTCCAGCCGGGGTGACAGTGCAATATTCCATCTCAAAAACAACCTACAAACAACAAAACGAAAAGTAAGTAGTAGAAAAATGGTACTGTGACTCAATAAAAGAACAACCCAATGAAAAAATGGGCAAAAGTGCTGGGCACGGTGGTTCATGTCTGTAATCCTAGCACTTGGGGAGGCTGAGGCTGGAATAGTGCTTGAACCCAGGAGTTGGAGACCAGCCTGGGCAACATAGATACGCCAACTCTACAGAAAAATTTAAAAATCAGCCAGGTGTCACAGTGCGTGCTTATAGTCCCAGATATTCAGGGCTGAGGCAACAGGTCCTTTGAACCCAGGAGGTGGAGGCTGCATGAGCCATGATTGTGCCACTGCACTTCAGCCTGGGTGACAGAGCGAGACCCTGACTCTAAAAATAATAATAATAACGGAGGCTGGGCATGGTGGCTCACGCCTGTAATCCCAGCACTTTGGGAGGCTGAGGCCGGCAGATCACGGGTCAAGGAATAGAGACCATCCTGGCAAATGTGGCAAAACCCTGTCTCTACTAAAAATACAAAAATTAGCTGGGCATGGTGGCAGGCACCTGTAATCCCAGCTACTTGGGACGGAGAGGCAGGAGAATCGCTTTAACCCGGGAGGCAGAGGTTGCAGTGAGCTGAGATTGCACCATTGCACTCTAGCTTGGGTGACAGAGCGAAAGACTGTGTTTCAAAATAATAATAATAATAATAATATAATAACCAAAAATTGGAAACAACCAAGATGCTCTTTGATAAGTACATGGGTAAACTGTGGAACATCCAGACATTGGAATATTTTTCAAATTAAACATGAACTAGCTATTAAGCCACGGAAAGGCATGCTGGGGCCTTAAATGCATGTTGCTGAGTGAAAGGAGCCATCCTGAAAAGGCTCACACTGTATGATTCCAATTACACGACATTCTGGGAAAAGCAAACTATGGAAACAGTAAAATGATAAGTGGTTGCCAGGGGCTTCAGGGGAGGGGAGAGGGATGAATAGGGAAGCGCAGGGGATTTTTAGGGCCATAAGACTATGCTGTATGACATGTAATGGGGGCAGCTGACATCATACGTTTGTCAAAACCTGTAAGAATGCATCAGGCACCGGGCGCGGTGGCTCATGCCCGTAATCCCGGCATTTTGGAAGGCCGAGGCTGGTGGATCACCTAAGGTTAGGAGTTTGAAACCAGCCTGGCCAACAGGGCGAAACCTCATCTCTACTTAAAACACAAAACTTAGCCAGGCGTGGTGGCGCCTGCCTGTAGTCCCAGCTACTTGGGAGGCCGAGGCAGGAGAATCGCTTGAACCCAGAAGACGGAGGTTGTAGTAAGCCAAGATTGCACCACTGCACTCCAGCCTGGGCAAAGAAGCCAGACTCCATCTCTAAACAAACAAACAAATAAATAAAGCACAAGGCAGAATGAACTCTTATGGAAATAATGATGGACTTTGGCTAATAATTATCAATATTGTTTCATCAGTTGTAACAAATGTAACACATTAATGCAAAATGTTTATAATAGAGGAATCTGTGTGTGTGTGTGTGTGTGTGTGTGTGTGTGTGTGTGGCAGGGGGAGTATATGAGAACTCTACTTTCTGTTCAATTTTTCCATAAACCTAAAACTGATGGAAAAATAGTCTATAATTAAATGAAGCCAGTAAGGATGCACTCAAACTGCTAACATTAGGACTGAAAGGTGAAAAAGGCAATCACAGTCCTGCCCCCTGGGGAGGTGGGAAGCTACAAGTTCCTGTATGGTTTGATTTTTTTGTTTTTGAGACGGAGTCTTGCTCTTGTTGCCCAGGCTGGAATGCAATGGCACAATCTCGGCTCACCACAACCTCCACCTCCTGGGTTCAAGCGATTCTCCTGCCTCACCCTCCCAAGTAGCTATTACAGGCAGCTGCCGCCACACCAGCTAATTTTGTATTTTTATTAGAGATGGGGTTTCTCCATATTAGGCTGGTCTCGAAATCCCGACCTCAGGTGATCCACCCACCTCGGCCTCCCAAAGTGCTGGGATTACAGGCGTGAGCCACCACACCCGGTCAATTTTTTTTTTGTTTTTTGTTTTTCTTTTTTTTGAGGAGTTTCACTCTTGTTGCCCAGGCTGGAGTGTAATGGCCTGACCTCAGCTCACTGCAACCTCCATCTCCCAAGTTCAAACGATTCTCCTTCCTAAGGCTCCCAAGCAGCTGAGATTGCAGGCATGTGTCACCACACCCGGCTAATTTTGTATTTTTATTAGAGACGGGGTTTCTGCACGTTGCTCAGGCTGGCCTCAAACTCCTGACCTCAGGTGATCTGCCCACCTCGTCCTCCCAAAGTGCTGGGATTACAGGCATGAGCCACCAAGCATTTTTTTTTTTTTTTTTTTTTTTTGAGATGGAGTCTTACTCTGTCAACCAGGCCGGAGTGCAGTGGCGTGATCTCAGCTCACTGCAACCTCCGCCTCCCGTCATTCTCCTGCCTCAGCGTCCTGAGTAGCTGGGACTACAGGCGCCCGCCACCACGCCCAGCTAATTTTTTTGTATTTTTAGTAGAGACGGCGTTTCACCATGTTAGCCAGGATGCTCTCCATCTCCTGACCTCATGATCCGCCTGCCTTGGCCTCCCAAAGTGCTGGGATTACAGGCATGAGTCGCCACACCCGGCCTTCTGGCTCTGTTGTCCAGGATGGAGTGCAGTGGCACGATCTCGACTCACTGCAACCTCTGCTTTCTGGGCTGGTTCAAACAATTCTTGTGCCTCAGCCTCCCAAGTAGCTGGGACTACAGGCACCTGCCACCAAGCTTGGCTAATTTTTTTTGTATTTTTAGTAGAGACGGGGTTTCACCATGTTGGTCAGGCTGGTCTCCAACTCCTGATCTCAGGTGATCCGCCTGCCTCGGCCTCTCGAAATGCTGGGATTATGGGTGTAAGCCACCATGCCCGGCCTGCATTTTTATAATGAACATAATAGTGGCAACAACATTGTTTCTGGTTTTCAGTATTTGACTGGGGTTTAGGGAAGAGTTCACCAAGGGGGACATAACTTGTTTTTTTAGATGGGAGTCTCTGTCACCCAGACAAGAGTACAGTGGTTTGATCATGACTCATTGCAGCCTAGACCTCCTGGGCTCAAGCCATCCTCCCACCTCAGCCTCTCATGGTGATCATACAGATTTGAGTCACAGCACCTGGCTTACTGTCTTTAAAAATGCAGTTTAAATAATGAAAGTACTGCTCCTGGCTGGGCGCGGTGGCTCAAGCCTGTAATCCCAGCACTTTGGGAGGCCGAGATGGGTGGATCATGAGGTCAGGAGATCAAGACCATCCTGGCTAACACGGTGAAACCCCATCTCTACTAAAAATACAAAAAACTAGCCGGGCGAGGTGGTGGGTGCCTGTGGTCCCGGCTACTCGGGAGGCTGAGGCAGGAGAATGGTGTAAACCCAGGAGGCGGAGCTTGCAGTGAGCCGAGATCCGGCCACTGCACTCCAGCCTGGGTGACAAAGCGACACTCCGTCTCAAAAAAAAAAAGTACTGCTCCTTTGATCAGGTTATGCTAATTTGTGTGACCAGCAACGCTGCATCTCTGAAGTCAAGGACGTGGCTGGGGGTGGGGCGGGGGGTTCTGGGGCCTCTACACTTTCCATCTAGTGGTCATCAGTTCTTGGGGCCTGGGGAGCCTTTCGGATGTTCTCTTGAGATCACAGAAAATAGAGACAGGACTGGGAAGTGACACACACTTCACCCATTAAAGACCTGCCAGAGATGAGTTGGAGTCCCAGCTTGGGGGTGTCCAGCTGTGAGGTGGGAAGAGGAGAAACATGGGTACTGGTGAACACTGCATGATGATGCTACACAAAGTTAGGAGGCAGAGAAGAATCCCCCCAAAAACTAATATTTAAACATTTTTAATTATTTTATTTTATTTTTTAAGATGGAGTCTCGCTCTGTCACCCAGGCTGGAGTGCAGTGGCACGATCTCAGCTCACTGCAACCTCCACGTACCGGGTTCAAGTGATTCTCCTTCCTCAGCCTCCTGAGTAGCTGGGATTACAGGCACCAGCCATTATGTCCAGCTAAGTTTTGTATTTTTTTTCTGAGACGGAGTCTCGCTCTGTCGCCCAGGCTGGAGTGCAGTGGTGCAATCTCGGCTCACTGCAAGCTCCGCCTCCCAGGTTCACACCATTCTCCTGCCTCAGCCTGCCGAGTAGCTGGGACTACAGGCGCCCGCCACCACGCCTGGCTAATTTTTTTGTATTTTTAGGAGAGACGGGGTTTCACTGTGTTAGCCAAGATGGTCTAGATCTCCTGACCTCGTGATCCACCCGCCTTGGCCTCCCAGAGTGCTGGGATTACAGGTGTGAGCCACCGTGCCTGGCCAGTTTTGTATTTTTAGTAGAAATGGGGTTTTGCCACGTTAGCCAGGCTGGTCTCGAATTATTGACCTCGTGATCCACGGGGTTTCACCCTGTTAGCCAGGATGGTCTCGGTCTCCTCACCTCGTGATCCGCCCGCCTCATCCTCCCAAAGTGCTGGGATTACAGGCGTAAACCACCGCGCCTGCCCAATTTTATTTTACTTTTGAGATGGAGTCTTGCTCTGCCACCCAGGCTGGAGTGCAGTGGTGCAATCTCGACTCACTGCAACCTCCGCCTCCCAGGCTCAAGCGATTCTCCCGCTTCAGCCTCCCTAGTAGCTGGGATTACAGGCACCTGCCACCATGCTTGGCTAATTTTTGTATTATTATTATTTTGAGACGGAGTCTTGCGCTTGTCACCCAAGCTGCAGTGCAGTGACGTGATCTCGTTTCACTGCAACCGCCACCTCCCAAGTTCAAGTAATTTTCCTGCCTCAGTCTCTGAGCAGCTGGGATTACAGGTGCCCGCCACCACGCTCCAGTAATTTTTGTACTTTTAGTAGAGACATGGTTTCACCACGTTGGCTAGGCTGGTCTCAAATTCCTGCCCTCAAGTGATCTGCCCGCCTCGGCCTCCCAAAGTGCTGGGATTACAGGCGCGAGCCACCGCTCAGAGTCCTAAACATATTTTAATTATGTTTCTCCAGTATTTTTTTTTCTTTAAAAAAATTTTTTTGGAGACAGAGTCTTGCTCTGTCGGCCAGGCTGGAGTGCAGACGTGATCTCCGCTCACTACCACCTCTGCCTCCCGGGCTCAGCCTCCGGGGTAGCTGGGACTACAGGCGTGCACCACCACGCCCGGCTAATTTTTTTTTTTTTTAATTTTTAATAGCCTCGGGGTTTCGCCACGTTGGCCAGGCTGGTCTCAAACTCCAGGCCTCAAGTGATCCGCCCGCGTTGGCCTCCCAAAGTGATGGGATTACAGGCGTGACACAGCGCGCCGGCCTTCTCCAGTATTTTTGCATGCATCTTACTGCACACCTTTGCACGCCATCTTATTAACTATATCATATTGCTTGCACGTGCCGTTTCGGCCAAGGCATCCAGATGGTGCGGGTGCTGCCTGCCTCGACAGGTGGCAGCAAAGGAGCTGGTGCCCTCACTGGTGCTGGGCGGGGCGGCCGCTTTCCTTTGAGGGAAGGGGCGGCCTTGCCCGGGGAGGGCGCTAGGGTCCAGGCCCTGAGGGAGGGGACAGCTCGCTCCGGCCACGCGGTGCCGGCCCTCGGCTCAGGCCGGGCTGAGGCCCCGGAGGCTCGGGGTCCGGAGGGAAGGCGCTGAGCCAGACAGGCCCCAAGGAGCCTTCGGGAAGGTGGGGCCTCGTGGCGGCCTGTCCGGGATCCTGGCCGGGAGCAGCGCCGTCAGGACGTGCCCGAGGTCTCCGGGGCCACGTGTTGGCGTCTGGTGGCCCTGGGGTCGCTGGCAGGTTCGGAGGGGAGACGCCCACCTGGGTGCCTTGGGCTGTACGGCGGGCGGCGGGGCCGGGAACCCCTGCTCCTCCTCGGCCTCCGATCTGCTGCGGCCCTGGGTCCAGCTCGCTGCACGACGCCGCCACCACGACCTCCGCCCGGGCCCCGCAGCCCGCCGCCCGCCGGAAGCCTAGGGGCGTGTCCGGCCCCGCCCCCGACCGCGGCCAATCAGCGCGCGCGACTCATGAATAGTGAGCGCGCTGGCACCGCCCCGCCCCCGCCTCCCGCGGCACCGCCCGCCCGCGCAGACCCCGAGCGCGGCCGCGGACGAAGATGGCGACCGCCATGTACTTGGAGCACTATCTCGACAGTAAGCGCGCTCCGCGGGCCCCGCGCCCGCCGCCCACGCGGAGCTCCCAGTGCCGCAGCCCCCCGCGCGCCGGGCACCGCATGCAGACCCCGTGGGCTCGGGAGGGCGGCGGGCGCTGCCGGGTGCGACTTGGGGCGCGCGGACGGGGCGGGGCAGGGCCGCAAGAGAGGGGAGGGCGCGGGGGGCGGGCGAGGGGGGGTCCCGCCGGCTCGGCCGCGCCAATTCCAGGTGCGTCACGGCGGGGCGGGGCCGGGTGGGCGGGGCTTGCGGACTCGTCCCGCCCATAGCTTAGGTCCCGCCCCCACCCAGGCCCCGCCTCGTCTCCGCCCCCAGCTCCGGCCCCGGCCCCGGCCCCGCCCGTTCCCGGCCCCGCCCGTCCCGTCCGGTCTGCAGGTCGAGCTGACACCCGCTGCGGGGCTCCGGGGCTTGGGGGCTCCGGGGTTTGGGCCCCCGCCTGGCTGTGCGCCGGCCTCTTGTGTGACCGCGGCTGGGGAGGGCGTGCGGGCCACGGGGCGTCTCTCCCCGGCCCTGGGGACTGCAGCTCGGAGACGGGGAGGGCGGCGCCGAGTCGGCCCTGGTGGGCGGGCGGTGCTGTGTCCAGGTGGCAGCAGGTCGGCGCCCCCAGCGGCTGAGCGATGGTGCTTTCCCTCACTCTACAGACCAGGGAAGGCCCAGCGCTGCCCAGCAGACTGCTCAGGGTCCCCCGCTCGTAGAGGGGCAGAGCCCACGCGGGACCCCTGACGTCGGCCCGGAATGGGCACAGCTTTGGGGTCGCGGTGTTTGGGGTTGTGCTTGGTGACTCTGGAGGGCCCTTATGTGGGCGCTGCACTGGGGATCCTCATGGTCTTCGGCCTGGCACTCGCCCAGGAGCTGAGACAGTGGCGAGTGAGCCGTGGCCTGGAGTTGGAGACCCTTGCCCTAGAGGGACGCCCTGTTCTGCCCATGTGCTCTGCTGTCTCGTGGGGGTCTGAGTAGTGGGGGGTTCCCCGGGTAGAAGAGTCAAACCCGGGAGCACGCTGGAGGAGAAGCCTTCTCCATCCTGGTGCCCAGCCAGTGGGCTGGCCTCCCAACGAGGGTTGACTGTGTGTGTGCCTGGGAGGCTGCGCCTCTGTCCTCTAGGGGACCTGGGAAAACACGGGCTGGAAGCATCAGATGCATAAGATAGTGTTAGGTTTAAAATGATTGCCTGGTAACTGTGAACAGCAGATAGGAGGGTGGCCAAGACCGGAAGAGGCAGCCCCCCTCAGGAGCCTGTGTCAGCTGTGCAGGGGGCGGAGGTTGGCCTGCTCTAGGGGATATCAGTGCAGACTGGAAAACAGCACGGGGGTCTTCCTGGCAGACTGTTGGGGATGATTGCGATAGCCACAGGGACTATTTAAGTAAAATTAAAAATTGAATAGCGTTAGTTCCATTTCCAGTGCTCAGTAGCTCGGGATGGCCACCACTGTCTTGGGCAGCTCAGAGAAAGAGCATTTCTTTTCTTTTTTCTTTTTCTTTTTTTTTTGAAATCGAGTCTCACCCTGTTGCCCAGGCTGCAGGGTGTGATCTCAGCGCACTGCAACCTCCGCCTCCCGGGTTCAAGCAGTTCTCATGCCCTAGCCTCCCGAGTAGCTGGGACTGTAGGTGTGCACCACCATGCCCAGATAATTTTTGTATTTTTAGTAGAGACGGGGTTTCACCATGTTGGCCAGGCTGGTCTTGAACTCCTGACCTCAAGTGACTTGCCTGCTCGGCCTCCTAAAGTGCTGGGATTACAGGCGTGAGCCACTGCGCCCGGCCGAGAGAGAAAACATTTCTATCCTTGCATAAAGTCACGTGGACAGCGTGGCTACACTGCTCGATGCACTGGATTTCTGGGTAAAGTCGGGGAAGATCAAGGAGGACCCAGGGTATTTTGGCTTGAGCCTTGGAGAATGCTGCTCCCTGAGGTGGGGTAGCCTAGAGGGTGGGGCCAGGTGGCCTCCTCTGCCTCTGCTGTTGGTTTCCAAGTTTCCCTCTCCCTTCTTTGACTTCTGACAGCTTTTGAAGTGTGTTAGCCTCTTATCAGCACTATTTGGTACCTAAGTCAAAAAATGATATCACAATCCTGGCGCTCCCCAAACCCTAACAGAAACAGAAGACAGAGTGGGCTTGTCATTTTAAACTTTAAGTATAAAACTTTTGGCCAGGCCTGGTGGCTCAACGCCTGTAATCCCAGCACTTTGAGAGGCTGAGGTGGGCAGATCACTTGAGGTCAGGAGTTTGAGACAAGCCTGGCCAACCTGGTGAAACCCCGTCTCTACTAAAAATACAAAAATTAGCCGGGCATGGTGGCATGTACCTGTAATCCCAGCTACTCGGGAGGCTGAGGCGTGAGAATCACTTGAACCCGGGAGGTGTAGGTTGCAGTGAGCCGAGATTGCACCACTGCACTCCAGCCTGGGCAACAAGAGCAAAATTTTGTCTCAAAAAAAGAAAAAAAGACAAAACAACCTTTGAAGGTGAATTTTTGTCCTGCTACTGAGAGGTACCTGACTTCCATGTTTTTGTGTTTCAGGTATCGAGAACCTTCCCTGCGAACTTCAGAGGAACTTCCAGCTGATGCGAGAGCTGGACCAGAGGACAGAAGGTGGGTTTAGGCCTCTCAGTACAACCAGAACTGGGTTCTGACAGCTGGGAGCCAGCAGCTCCTGAAGGCTGGGGGCAGAGGGTTTTGAGGGGACCCAGGTTAGTGGGGCATTGGCCTAGCCCTGGGCTGTGGGTATCACCCAGTGTCTTGCAGTAGGTGTTGATACTTTCAAAGCCACATTTAGTTTCTTGGGTTCTTACACATCTTTATATCATGCTCTTATAACCATCACCCTTTCCAATCAAAATATTTATTGCCATTTTTTTTCTTTTATAAATTTTCAATTTTCAGAGTATGTAGTGTGTGCATTGTTTTAAAAGTTTGGTAGTATTTTTTGGCCTTTTGGTGTTTAACTCCGGTTTTTGTTTTTTTTTTTTTTGAGACGGAGTCTCTCTTTGTCGCCCGGGCCGGAGTGCAGTGGCGTGATCTCAGCTCACTGCAAGCTCCGCCTCCTGGGTTCACGCCATTCTCCTGCGTCAGCCTCCTGAGTAGCTGGGACTACAGGTGCCTGCCACCGTGCCCGACTAATTTTTCTTTTTTTTTGTATTTTTAGTGGAGATGGGGTTTCACTGTATTAGCCAGGATGGTCTTGATCTCCTGACCTCGTGATCTGCCTGCCTTGGCCTCTCAAAGTACTGGGATTACAAGCGTGAGCCACCATGCCTGGCCCTAACTACATTTCTCTTTTTTTTTTTTTTTTTTTTTTGAGAGAGTCTTACTCTGTTGCCCAGGCTGGAGTGCAGTGGCACGATCTTGGCTCACTGCAACCTCCACCTCCCACATTCAAGTGATTCGCCTGCCTCAGCCTCCCGAGTAGCTGGGACTACAGGCACATGCCACCTCACCTGGCTAATTTTTTGTAATTTTAGTAGAGACAGGGTTTCACCATGTTCACCATGTTAGCCAGGATGGTGTTGATATCCTGACCTCATGATCCACCTGCCTTGGCCTCCCAAAGTGCTGGGATTACAGGCATGAGCCACCACGCCCGGCCCTTAAACTCCTTATTTCTAAACAACATGTTTTAGTTGTTGTTTCTTATTTTATCTCTTGTCAGTTTTAAACTTTGTTCAGCCATATATGGCACATGCAGCTGTACTTCTCCAGTGGCCCCCACCAGCTCACCTGCCTGCACCTTGCTCCCCCATCTCCTGGCTGTAGTTAGTTGGAATTTGTGGTGAGACCAGTGATGGGACTTCCATTGGGCAACCGTGTAGGTACTTTAACACTGAGCCATGCCACCTGCTGTGCTTATATATTTGACCCCTTTTGAATAAGTCTGCGTATTTCTTTTGTTGTTTTTTTTGTTTTGGTTTGGTTTTTTGGGGGACAGAGTCTCGCTGTGTCCCCCAGGCTGGAGTGCAGTGGCTCACTCGGCTCACTGCAAGCTCCGCCTCCCAAGTTCAGGCCACTCTCCTGCCTCAGCCTTCTGAGTAGCTGGGACTACAGGTGCCCGCCACCATGCCCGGCTAATTTTTTTTTGTATTTTTAGTGGAGATGGGGTTTCACCATGTTAGCCAGGATGGTCTCGATCTCCTGACCTCACGATCCACCCGCCTCAGCCTCCCAAAGTGCTGGGATTACAGGCGTGAGCCACCGCGCCCTGCCAACTTTGCGTATTTCTTAGAGTTACTCGTTGCCTTGTTTCTTGGCTTTTTTTTCTGCATTCTACCCTCGTCTCCCAGGCTGGGCTTTTCCGTTTGGTCTGAGTGTCAGGCTGTCTACCCTGACAGTTCGGTGTGTGTTTTCTTTCCATGGAACCCTCTGTCCTGGAGGCCACAGTCCTGATTGTTTCTAGGCCTACTGCACACTTGTTGCCCTGAGGTTTTCCTAGGATCTCCTTTCACCCCTCTTCAGTGTGGGACCCTCTTCCTGGAATCTTAAATGTCCTCTTTTTTTTTTACTTGCTCTCCTGTTTTGATAGAGCCTTTCCTCTGGCAGGTTCCTGAAAAAAGGCCCATAGGAAGGTAGATTTTCTTGGCCGGGCACGGTGGCTCACACCTGTAATCCCAGCACTTTGGGAGGCCGAGGCGGGCAGATCACCTGAGGTCAGGAATTCGAGACCAGCCTGACCAACATGGAGAAACCCCGTCTCTACTAAAAATATAAAATTAGCCGGGTGTGGTGGCGCGTGCCTGTAATCCCAGCTAATTGGGAGGCTGAGGCAGGAAAATCACTTGAACCTGGGAGGCGGAGGTTGCGGTGAGCTGAGATCACACCATTGCACTCCAGCCTGGACAACAAGAGCAAAACTACATCTCAAAAAAAAAAGAAAAAAAAGGAAGGTAGATTTTCTTGTAACGTAACATGTCTGAAAATGTGTTTGTTCTAGCGTCATACTCAGTTGATAGTTTGGTTGGGTATAGAATCCCAGGTTGACAATTGTTTTCACTCAGGAAGTTGGCGGCATTGCTGCCTTGTCTCCTAGCTTCCACGTTGCTGCAGAAAATCTGGTGCTGTAGGCCGGGCGCGGTGGCTCAAACCTGTAATCCCAGCACTTTGGGAGGCCGAGACGGGCGGATCACGAGGTCAGGAGATCGAGACCATCCTGGCTAATATGGTGAAACCCCGTCTCTACTAAAAATACAAAAAACTAGCCGGGCGAGGTGGTGGGTGCCTGTAGTCCCAGCTACTCGGGAGGCTGAGGCAGGAGAATGGCGTAAACCCAGGAGGCGGAGCTTGCAGTGAGCTGAGATCCGGCCACTGCACTCCAGCCTGGGCAACAAAGCGAGACTCCGTCTCAAAAAAAAAAACAAAAAAAAAAATCTGGTGCTGTTTGGATTCTTGGTCCTTTATATGTGTGATCTTTTTTTGTTGTTGTTATTCCTATTCAGAAGCTTTTGAGATGTATCTCTGAAGTTTTAAATTTCGTGGTAATGTGTTTTGGTGTGGGAGTCTTTTATTTTTTTTTTTTTGAGATGGAGTTTCACTCTTGTTGCCCAGGCTGAAGTGCAGTGGCGCAATCTCGACTCACCACAACCTCTGCCTCCCGGGTTCAAGTGATTCTTCTGCCTCAGCCTCCCAAGCAGTTGGGATTACAGGCATGCGCCACCATGCCTGACTAATTTTGTATTTTTAGTAGAGACGGGGTTTCTTCATGTTAGTCAGGCTGGTCTCGAACTCCTGACCTCAGGTGATCTGCCCGCCTTGGCCTCCCAAAGTGCTGGGATTACAGGCGTGAGCCACCATGCCTGGCCTGAGATTTTTTATGCATTATGCTGGGCACATTGTTTTTTTTTTTTTTTTGAGATGGAGTTTCGCTCTTGCTGTCCACGCTGGAGTGCAATGGCACGATCTCGGCTCACCACAACCTCCACTTCCTGGGTTCAAGCAATTCTGCCTCAGCCTCCTGAGTAGCTGGGATTACAGGCATGCGCCACCACACCCTGCTAATTTTTTGTATTTTAAGTAGACATGGGGTTTCTCCATGTTGGTCAGGCTGGTCTCGAACTCCAGACCTCAGGTGATCTACCCGCCTCAGCCTCCCAAAGTGCTGGGATTACAGCCATGAGCACCGCGCCCGGCCTAGGCACACGTTTTGCAAGACTGAGATAGCTGTGTTTTTTCGCTTAGGTACAGCATCTTGACTAGGGAATATAGAGAGTTATTTAATTGTGAAATGTAACATATATTCAGAAATGAGGTACAACATTTATAGATTGCTTAACAAATATTACCAGGTGAACCTCTCTGTTTTCTGCTACTGAGATGGAGAAATCAAGCCCTTTAGCACCTGAAGACCTTTGTGACCCTCCTAGTCATGACACCCATCCATCCAAGGGGTGACCATCTTGAGTTTGGTGATAGTCACCTTCCACCTTTAACAGTAGTTTTCTTTTTTTTTTTTTTTCTGAAACGGAGTCTCGCTCTGCCATCAGGCTGGAATGCAGTGGCACAATCTCGACTCACTGCAACCTCTGCCTGCTGGGTTTAAGTGATTCTCCTGCCTCACCCTCCTGAGTAGCTGGGACTATAGGTGCGTAACTCCACGCCCAGCTAATTTTTGTATTTTTAGAAGAGGCGGGGTTTCACCACGTTGGCCAGGATGGTTTCCATCTCTTGACCTCATGATCCACCTGCTTTGGCCTCCCAAAGTGCTGGGATTACATGCGTGAGCCACCGCGCCCGGCCTTCAACAGTAGTTTTCTTACCTCTCTAAACCAAAGAGTTACAAGCTGTGTCTGTTTCTGCCCTTTGTATTAATGGAATCATCCGGTATGTTTTCTTTTGTTTCTTGCTCTTTTTGCTCTGTGTCACCTTCTGTGGGAATCATCCGTGTTGCTGTGTGTAGCTGTGGTTTGCTCTGTTTGTTGCTGAGTAGCACTCTGTTGTCTGAAGGGACCATATCTGATTTCTCCATTTCACTGAGGATTGGACATTTGGGTTGTTTTCTGTTTCCTGCTCTTATGAATGTTTTCCCACGTGTATTTCTTTAGGTTACATAAGGTTTCTTTAGGGTGTTTAAGAGTAGTATGTTCTTTCTTGACTGCTCTACCGAAAAAAGAAGAAAACAAAAAAAAGAGTAGTATGCCAGGGCATAGGAAAGGTGACTACATAATTAATTATTCACACAGGATGTTTGAGAGTCAAAGAGGGCACTGTGACCACCTGCTGTGTAACATTCAGAACTGGGACTGTTCTGGGCACGCTGCCGTAAAGTCTGCACATCCACATGATCCCAGACTGTTTGTGCAGAACGGTTCTGCCCACTTGCACTCCCACCAGCACGGCGTGAGTTCATGTCAGCCTACGTCTTTGCCACAACTTGGTGTTGGCTGACTTTAGTTGTTTCCGGTCTAGTGAGCCCATCGTGGTGTCTTGTGCGGGGCTAGCTTTTCCCCCATTTCTCCATCAGATAAGAAAGCAGAGATTGACATCCTGGCTGCAGAGTACATCTCCACGGTGAAGACGCTATCTCCAGACCAGCGCGTGGAGCGCCTGCAGAAGATCCAGAATGCCTACAGCAAGTGCAAGGAATACAGCGATGACAAAGTGCAGCTGGCCATGCAGACCTATGAGATGGTGAGGGTGGGCGGGGGCCACGGCACCCGCAGACCTATGAGATGGTGAGGGTGGGCGGGGGCCACGGCACCCGCAGACCTATGAGATGGTGAGGGCAGGGCGGGGGCCACGGCACCCGCAGACCTATGAGATGGTGAGGGCAGGGCGGGGGCCACGGCACCCGCAGACCTATGAGATGGTGAGGGTGGGCGGGGGCCACGGCACCCGCAGACCTATGAGGTGGTGAGGGCGGGGCGGGGGCCATGGGTCTTCCTCCGACCTCTACTGCCTCTCATGCAACAAAATGTAAAAACTGCCCAGAAATGGGCATAGCCAAGTGGAAGGCTAGCTTTGGTAGCCTGACGCTGCTGGAGGAAATACAGACAAGATACACTTCATGTGGGACCATCCTTGTTTTTTTTTTTTTTTCTGGACCCTTTTTGTTTGTGTATCTGCTCGGAGGAACCATTTGGTTTTTTTTTTTTTTGAGACAGTCTCACTTTGTCGTCCAGGCTGGGGTACAGTGGTGTAATCTTAGCTCAGTGCAACCTCCGCCTCCCAGGGTCAAGTGATTCTCGTGCCTTAGCCTCCCAAGTAGCTGGGATTACAGGCATGCAGCACCACGCCCACCTAATTTTTACATTTTTAGAAGAGACGGGGTTTCACCCTGTTGGCTACACTGGTCTCGAACTCCTGACTTCAAGTGATCCGCCCGCCTCAGCCTCCCAAAGTGCTGGGATTACAGGCATGAGCCACCATGCCCAACCTCCAGGTGGCCATATTTTATTTTATTTTACTTATTTTTTATTTTATTTTATTTTATTTTTGAGACAATCTTGCTCTGTTGCCCAGGCTGGAGTGCAGTGGCATGATCTCAGCTCACTGCAACTTCCACCTCCCAGGTTTAAGCGATTCTCCTGCCTCAGCCTTCTGAGTAGCTGGGATTACAGGCATTACCAACAGGCTAATTTTTGTTTTTTGTTTTTGTTTTTTTTTTGAGACAGAGCTTTGCTATTGTTGCCCAGGCTGGAGTGCAATGCCACTATCTTGGCTCACCACAACCTCCGCCTCCCTTGTTGAAGCGATTCTCCTGCCTCAGCCTCCTGAGTAGCTGGGATTACAGGCACGCACCACCAAGCCCGGCTAATTTTGTATTTTTGGTAGAGATGGGGTTGCTCCATGTTGGTCAAGCTGGTCTCGAACTCCCGACCTCAGGTGATCCTCCTGCCTCAGCCTCCCAAAGTCCTGGGATTACAGGTGTGAGCCACCGTGCCTGGCCTGTATTTTTAATAGAGATGGGGTTTTGCCATGTTGGCCAGGCTGGTCTCGAACTCCTGACCTCAAATGATCCACCCGCCTCGGCCTCACAGAGTGCTGGGGCTATGGCATGAGCCACTGCGCCTGCCCTAATTTTTGTATTTTTATTAGAGACGGGATTTTACCATGTTGGTCAGGCTGGTTTCGAACTCCTGACCTCAGGTGATCAGACTGCCTTGACCTCCCAAAGTGCTGGGATTACAGGTGTGAGCCGCTGCACCTGGCCTCCAGGTAGCCACATTTTAAAGTAGGATTCAGCGTCAGATATCCCAGGCCTTGTTCACCGCATTTCACAACTCTGCTTCTCATTATTGCCCACACGCCTGTCTTTTCCCTAAATGGGATTCATTCCACTGCAGTCAAAATATGCAGAAAAAGCACAAGACCTTGCATGGACTTTGAAATAGTGGGCCTGGATTTAGCAGAGGTTTGTTCATTGACGACTCAATTAAAGGGCAAGAAGGCATTTCCTAGTGGATACTTTTGTACATTTGTGATTTCTAAGGTGTTTCAGTTTTACTTTAAAACAAGACTTTGGGTATCCTTTTGTAGGTGGATAAACACATTCGAAGGCTTGACGCAGACCTGGCGCGCTTTGAGGCAGATCTGAAGGACAAGATGGAGGGCAGTGATTTTGAAAGCTCCGGAGGGCGAGGGTTAAAAAGCAAGTCTGTTAAATTTTTTTTCTTTATTACTGTTAACTATGGCGTTTTGAAGTTTTGTCACAGTAAATCATTAAAGTATGATCACTAGGGTAAGTATCATATTTGGGTAAACCTTGTCTTGCAAGCTGGGCACAGTGGCTCACGCCTGTAACCCCAGCACTTTGGGAGGCCAAGGCAGGAGGATTGCTTGAGGCTGGGAGTTTGAGACCAACCTGGGCAACATAGTGAGACCTCATCTCAACAAAAAAGTTAAAAATTAGCCGGGTGTAGTGGTGCACACCTGTGGTCCCAGCTACTTGGCAGGCTGAGGTGGGTGGATTGCTTGAGCCTGGGAGGTCAAGGCTGCGGTGAGCTATGATTGTTCCATTGCACTCCAGCCAGCCTGGGAGACAGAGCGAGACTCCTTCTTAAAAACAAAACACAAAACTTGCCTTGCTTTAGCGAATTCTATAAAAATAATTTTCATCTTGATTGTTTTTCAGAAGGCCGGGGTCAGAAAGAAAAAAGAGGGTCCCGGGGCCGAGGCAGGAGGACATCAGAGGAAGATACACCAAAGAAAAAGAAGCATAAAGGAGGGTAAGAGGCTTTCCCCTCTTTTTCCCAGAAGAACAAATACCCATAGCCAGTATCCCGGATGTAGAAACACTGATGGAAGCTGACCCTTGAGTGAAGTGCACTCCGTGTGCTGGGTGGCATTCGGGTTCTTCTGGTTCTTATGCTGTGTGCCTGTCATCAGCCCGTCCTCACCGCAGCCATGGAGGGGGTGCCGTTGTTGGGCATTTTCCGTGTCGCAGGGACCTGCCCAGGCGTTAGAGCTGCTGTGGTGTGGCTGGGCCTGCACCTGGAGTCTGACTCCAGTGCCTGTCTTCTTAGCCACGGTGTGTGCTGCCCCGCTAGGGACAGTAGGTTGGTGAGCGTGTTGTTGACAGAGGCCAATGTAAACCACTCTTCAAGTAGCTAGATTTCTGTGTATCTGTCAGTTATTTTATGTGTCAGTATATAGTTTGCATATATTCATTGTTAAATTATGTGGCCACATTTATTAAATAGACATGTCATTTAACTTGAAGTTCTTTGAGATACTTTATTTAAAGCATTCTCCCACTGACACCCTCCCTGCCAAAGGTATTGTGTACCCTCCAAAGAGATCAGAGCATTACCTCGGAGGAGTGACATTTAGACTAAAGAGAAAATGCTGAAATGCCACAAAGCCTCTATGGAGATGATTCTGGTGGGGAGTGGTCAAAGAGTGTCAGTTTTGGGCATGGTGGCTCATGCCTATAATTCCAGCACTTTCGAAGGCCAAGGCGGGAGGATCACTTGAGCCCAGGAATCTGAGACCAGTCTGGGCAACAAAGTGAGACCCCCATCTCTACAAAAAATAGAAAAAATTAGGTGAGTATAGTGGCGTGGGCTGTAGTCCCAGCTACTAGGGGAAACTGAGCTGGGAGGATCGTGAGCCATGATCGCACCACTGCACTCCAGCCTGGTCCACAGCGTGAGATTCTGTCTCAAAAAAAAAAAAAAAAAGAGTTCTTCATGACAAAAAAGGCACCATTTTCAGTTTTTTTGTTTTTTGTTTTTTGTTTTTTTTGAGACAGGGTTTCACTCTTGATGCCCAGGCTGGAGTGCAATGGCACAATTCTCCTGCCTCACCCTCCTGGATAGCTGGGACTACAAGCGTGCACTACCATGCCCAGCTACTTTTTTGTATTTTTAGTAGAAATGGGGTTTCACCATGTTAGCCAGGCTGGTTTCGAACTCCTGACCTCAGGTGATCCACCCGCCTCAGCCTCCCAAAGTGCTGGGATTATAGGCGTGAGCCACTGCACCCGGCCCAATTTTCAGGTTTTTTTTTTTTTTTTGAGATGGAGTCTCACTCTGTCACTCAGGCTGGAGTGCAGTGGCACAATCTTGGTTCACTGCAACCTCTGCCTCCCAGGTTCAATCAGTTCTCCTGCCTGAGCCTCCTGAGTAGCTGGGACTACAGGTGCATGCCACCACATCCAGCTAATTTTTTGTATTTTTAGTAGAGATGAGGTTTCACCTTGTTAGCCAGGATGGTCTTGATCTCCTGACCTCGTGATCCACCTGCCTTGTCCTCCCAAAGTGTTGGGATTACAGGTGTGAGCCACTGTGCCCTGCTGCAATTTTCAGTTTTGAAATCTAGTGCTTAGCCTTTTGGCCAGGCGCAGTGGCACACGCCTATAATTGCAGCACTTTGGGAGGCCAAGGCGGGTTAATCACCTGAGGTCAGGAGTTCAGGACCAGCCTGAGCAACACCGTGAAACCCTGTCTCTACCAAAAATGCAAAATACTTAGCTGGGTGGTGGCATCTGCCTGTAATCCCAGCTACTTGGGAGGCTGGCGCAGGGAGATTGCTTGAACATGGGAGGTGGAGGTTGCAGTGAGTCAAGATCGCGCCACTGTACCCCAGCCTGGGCGACAGAGCGAAACTCCATCTCAAAAAAAAAAAAAAAATCCCTATATTCTTGTCTTGTAAAGTAGTGCACAGATACAGAAAACCGCACAGAACAAACATGGTTTAATTAATTTCCGGAAAGTGAAGGTCTTTGTAACTAGCACCTAGTCAGTGGTTAGCTGCAGTTGGAAGGCCTTCCATATGCCCTGCTAAAATCATAAACTCCTTCTGTCCCCAAATAAACATGATGCAGATTTCTAGTGTTTATTTCCTTGTTTCTTTAATAGTTTTATAGTGCCTTCCTAGACACTATACATTATAGTTTAGTCCTGTTTTTCTAACTTTTTAAATTAACTTTATTAAGGAATAATTTATATGCAATGAAATGTTGTTCTAAATGTACAGTTTGATGCTGCATTCAGTTCCTTTAAAGCTATGGAAGTTTTCAGGCTTTCTATTTCTTCTCGGGTCAGTTTTGGACAAAATCTGTGTCTTTCAAGAAATTTGTTTCATGTAAGTTGTCAGATTTTGTTGACATCAGGTTGTTAATAATTTTGCATTATTATGGTTCGGATGTAGTGTCTGTGTTGATGGTCCCTCTTTCAGTCCTGATATTGGTAATTTATGTTTCTCTCATTTTATCTTGATCTTTTTTTTTTTTTTGAGACAGGGTCTCGCTCTGTCACCCAGGCTGGAGTGCAGTGGCATGATCTTGGCTCACTGCAGCCTCACCTCCTGGGCTCAAGATATCCTCCCACTTTGGCCTTCCAAGTAGCTGGGACCACAAGTGCATGCCACCATGCCTGGCTAATTTTTTATATTTTTGGTAGAGATGGAGTTTCGCCATGTTGCGCAGGATGGTCTCAAACTCCTGAGCTCAAGTGATCCACCCACGTTGGCCTCCCAAAGTGCTGGAATATAATTTTTTTTTTTTTTTCGTGAGACGGAGCCTTGCTCTGTTGCCCAGGCTGGAGTGCAGTGGTGCAATCTTGGCTTACTGCAACCTCTGCCTCCTGGGTTCAAGCGATTCTCTTGCCTCAGCCTCCTGAGTAGCTGGGATTAGAGGCATGTACCACCATGCCTGGCTAATTTTTTTTGTGTGTATTTTTAATAGAGACAGAGTTTTGCCATGTTGGCCAGGCCGGTCTTGAACTCCTGACCTCAGGTGATCCACCTGCCTTGGCCTCCCAACATACTGGCATTACAGGTGTGAGCCACCACACCTCGCCTAGAATTTTTTTTTTTTTTTTTTTTTAAACAGAGTCTCCGTGTCTCCCAGACTGCAGTGCAGTAGTGCGATCTCGGCTCGCTGCAAGCTCCACCTCCCGGGTTCACGCCTTTCTCCTGCCTCAGCCTCCTGAGTAGCTGGGAGTACAGGTGCCCACCACCACCCTCGGCTAATTTTTTGTATTTTTAGTAGAAACGGGGTTTCACCGTGTTAGCCAGGAGGGTCTCAATCTCCTGACCTCGTGATCCACCCGCCTTGGCCTCCCAAAGTGCTGGGATTACAGGTGTGAGCCACCACGCCCAGCCGCATTTTTTTTTCATGCTATTTCTTTGCCTTATAACTTATGTAGAAGTATGTGTCTCAATTTCCAAATAATTTGGGATTTTTCAGATACCTTTCTAATTTTAATTTTTAGTTGAGTTCTGTTGTAGTCAAAGAACATTATATAATTGAAATCCTTTGAAGGCCAGCTAATTTTTGTATTTTTAGTAGAGACAGGATTTCACCATGCCAGACAGGCCGGTCTCGAACTCCTGACCTCAAATGATCTGCCCACCTTGGCCTCCCCTCCCTGTAAAGTGCTGGGATTACAGGCGTGAGCCACTGCACCCAGCCTTCATTGCAATATTTGGTCTATTCATATTTAACATAATTAATGATATGGTAGAATTTAGATTCACCATCTTGCTATTAGTTTTCTATTTGTTCCTTCTGTTCCTTTCCTGTCTTCTTTTGGACTAATCAAGTATTTTTTTAGCATTCCGGTTTTTTCCCCACTCTTGTCTTATTAGCTATACTTCTTTGTTTTTTTTTTTTTTTGAGACGGAGTTTCGCACTGTTGCCCCGGCTGTAGTGCAATTCGCAATGGCGTGATCTCGGCTCACTACAACCTCCACTTCCCAGGTTCAAGTGATTCTCGTGCCTCAGCCTCCTGAGTAGCTGGGATTACAGGCGTGCGCCACCACACCTGGTTAATTTTTGTATTTTTAGTAGAGACGGGGTTTCGCCATGTTGGCCAGGCTGATGTCAAACTCCTGGCCTCCAGTGATCCTCTCGCCTCAGCCTCCCAAAGTGGTGGGATTACAGGCATGAGCCACCGAGCTTGGCCCAACTTTTATTTCTTAATATTTATTTTCTTTCTTTAAAAATTTATTTTCCGTGCATATTCTGCTTATGTATATTTCTTTATGTGGATGCAAATTTCTGTCTGTTGTCATTTCTCCTCTACTGAAGAACTTTAACATTTTTTACGGTATGTGTATGCTGATGGTGATGAATTCTCTTAAGTTTTTATTTCTCTGAAAATGCTTTTATTTTGCTGCATATAGAATTTTTGGTTAACCTTTTTTTTTAATCATTAAAGGTGTTCTCTCGTTTTCTTCTTTCATTGATTCTGATGATAAATTAGTGATAATAATTATTTTTGGTGATTTTTTTTTTTTGCTTCTAAGATTTCTCATCGTCACTGGCTCTTAACAGTTTGGTTATGATGTGTCTTGGTGTGATTTTTTGTGTATATTTTGCGTGGAACTTGTGCGTCTTTGAACTGTTGGTTTGTACTTTGCATCAAATTTGGAAAATGTTCAGCCAGTTCTGCAAATATTTTTGTGCTCTCCTTTCTCCCCTTCCTGCGATCCAGTTCCCTGTGTGTTTCTTAGTTTAGATTTTCTCACAGCTCAGTGAGGCTCTGCTTACTTTCTGTAAGCTTTTTCTTTCTATACTTCAGTTTGATTTGTTTCTATTACTTTATCTATTTATTTATTTATGAGACAGGTTCTGGCTCTGTCGCCCAGGCTGGAGTGCAATAGCACAATCTCGGCTCACCGCAGCCTCCGCCTCCCGGGTTCAAGCCATTCTCCCGCCTCAGCCTTCCAAGTAGCTGGGATAACAGGTGAGCGTCACCACACCCGGCTAATTTTTGTATTTTTAGTATAGACGGGGTTTCAGCATGTTGGCCAGGCTGGTTTCAAACTCCTGGCCTCAAGTGATCCGCCCAGCTTGGCCTCTCACCTTCCCTTTCCTCCTTTCCTCCTTTCTCTTTCTCTCTTTCTCTCTCTCTCTCTCTTTCTTTCTTTTTTTTTTTTTTTGAAGGTCTTGCTTGGTCGCCCAGGCTGGAGTGCACTGGTACAATCTTGGCTCACTGCAAGCTCTGCCTCCCGAGTTCAAGCGATTCTCTGCCTCAGCCCCCCAAGTAGCTGGGATTATGGGCGCGTGCCACCATGACTGGCCAATTTTGTATTTTTAGTATAGATAGGGTTTCACCATGTTATGCAGGCTGGTCTTGAACTCCTGGCCTCAGGTGATCTGCCCGTCTTGGCCTCCCGATGTGCTGGGATTACAGGTGTGAGCCACTGTGCCCGGCCCTAAGTTAGTTTTAATCTCCTTTAATACAGTTTTCATTTAAGAGATTGTAGGGCTGGGCGCTTTGGCTCACGCCTGTAATCTCAGCACTTTGGGAGGCTGAGGTGGGAGGGTCATTTGTGTAGCCGGGATTACAGGCATGTGCCACCATTCCTTGGTAACCAGCTTTTAAAAAAACAATCAGTCCTATTTCCCGGCTGGGTGTACATGTCTTATGATTTGTTATTAGTTCTCCGAACTTGGGTATAAAGGAAGCGTGGAGAGGGAAATTTCTGTTCTCCCCAGGATGTATTTGCTCTGTTTTAGTCCAGGCTGATAGGCTTGGGGGCCTGGGGCGGGGCAGGGTCTCAGCTTCAGGTCCACCCAGGCCCCTCGAGGACCCTGAGCTCTTGACTGAGTGCCCCAGGGAGCCTGCGGATTGCCCTCTGCGGAAGACTCTGCCCTGTAGTTCATCTGCACTTCAGTGGGTTTAGATTTCCTCTCTCACCTCCTGCCCCCCCGGCTTCTGCAGTTGGTAGAAGTACGGGGTAGGAGACTGGCGGTGCCCGAGCACACCCCTTCCTCGAGAACTCCAAGGCTGCAGGGATTTTCCATCTGCTTTTAGTGGCTCTGTGCAGCCTCTGGACTCTGTAAATGGTGGGGACACAGCCGCCATGTGTGTCTGTGTGGGCTCAGCGTGGCCCGGTGGCCAGCCCAGCCCTCACTCAGCGCATGAGGCAGGTGGACACCCGCCCCAACACCCCCCAGCACCGGCTGCAGGTCATCCAGCGCTTGTTCTCCACAGCTCCCCCACATCTTTGAGAATGTGGTTTTTGTGACTTGCTGGGTTTTGTGTTTTCTAACTCAGTGAGAACAGCGTTGAGTCTTCCTGCTCCTTCCTGCTTGGAACCTGAAGGCCCTGTCCCGACCGTGCCTTTTCTGTGTGAAAGCGGAGCTCCTCCTGGTCTCTTCCTCACCCAGCACTGTTTCTCAAGGGCATGCTAGGCATGAGGAATGCAGGCACCTATGGTGGTGAAGGAGACCCCAGCTCCCTTTCTCAAGGGCATGCTAGGCATGAGGAGTGCAGGTACCGGGGTCCTCGTGGTGGTGAAGGAGACCCCAGCTCCCTGTTGGGGTTGGGGCTTCCTCCCTGAGCGCTCTGCCCTGCTTCAGAGACCTCAGGAACAGCCAGCACCTCTGCAAACCCAGGAAGATCCACCGTGGCCTCATGGCTTTTCCTGTCCTGACAGTGCGCTGACCAGCACTGTTTAGTAGCAGTCGGAGCCTGGGAGCTCAGCGCTGCCTGCCGGGCAGGTTGCAGTAGTGACAGATGAGGGAGTGATCACTGATGGCGACAGTTGCGGGGCTCCTGCGGCTCCGGGCTGGATCTAGCTTGTGTGCGAATCTCTTTCTTCTCCATGCCCCCGAGTGGCAGTGCTGCTCCTGTCCCGTTGCAAGACGTCGAGACAGGCTGGCAAGGCGAGCTCTGAAGCTGGGCTCTAACGCCCAAGGTGCCAAGCAGGCCCCTTCCAGAGGGACAGGAAGATGGTGCAGGTGGGCAGACAGGGTGTCCTGAGGACCAATCGGTTGAACCCAAAGCCTGGGCCCGCCGGGGCGGGAGTGTGCACTCATGTGCCTCCAAGGGCATCATCCTGGGTGTGCGCAGGCGCCCGCCTGCCCCTGGGCTCTGGAGCTCTGTGGAGCTCTGTGGCGCGCGTTCCTGACCCATCAGCACAGTGTGTTTTCATGCCCCTCTTGGTCACGCTGTGGTGCCAGGCTGCTCTGCTTCAAGGCAGGTCCTGTTCCCTGCTGGGGACCTGGGAGCATGCGCCATCCTGTCCCTGTGGCCTGCCCTCTTCAGGCCTGTTCCCCACGTGCCCAGGGCCCTTCCTGGAATGCAGTGTTCCTAGACCGCACAGATGCTCCGTGTCTCGTCTGAGATTCCATGACCTGAGGCGGCCCCCTGCGCTGTTGCTGCCCTGTGGCCTTGCTCTGGTGTGTGGACGAAGGGCAGTGTCACCTGTAGCACCTGGAATCCCGGAGCTTGGACAGGCAGCCAATCCCCTGCTAGGAGCTACGTGGAGTGCTGGGAAGCCATTGGGGCCGGGCGTGGAGGGGCTCACTGGCACCATCTGGTGAGGGTTGCCCGCCATGCCCTGGGGAATTAGCACAGAGGGTGCCTCTTGTGGCATTGGAGCTGAAGGGAGTCAGAGAGCAGCCGCTGATAGCTGGGGTCAACCCAGCCTGTGCAAGGGACAGGGCTCCCCATGGCCTCCTGGTTGCCTCCCTCAGGGCTGGTGGTAGCACTCCCCGGCCACGCGCCATGGCGCTCCCTCAGGTGAGACTGGAGAGGCCAGTGAGGCCTCCACGCCAGCCTCAGCTTCTGGGGTGCCCTTGCTGGGTGGTCCCCTCATGCCCCCAGCCTTCTCCCACTACCGTCAAATCTGGCCAGCGCCCTCGAACCTGGTGATGCCGAGACACAGGTCAAGATGTCGGTTCCGGCTTTGTGGACAGAATTGGACTCGGCGCAGAAGAGGAGGGCGTCACAGAGAGCATTTCGGGGACCGTTGGCAGCAGAGGGTGCTGCCCTGCTCTCCACGGGTGAGAGGTGACGCGAGGAGACTGCAGGAGCCCCTTGGAGGTGAAGCCACAGGTGTCAGCCCGGAATCAGCAGCTGGCTGAGACGTAGACCCTTGTGTGCCGCTGTCAGAGGAGAGGCCCGAAGACTACTTGAGACTGTTGCTTGAAAGCAGTATCGGCGGCACCTGGACCTGGACTTGTGACAGTGATGGATTTCAGCTCTAGAGAGAAACTCTTGTCTGGTCCCAGACAGAAAGAGCAGGAGAGCAGATTACCCGCAAAGGACAGACTTAGATGGGCACCCCTGTGCCAGAGGGCAGCGGGGAGGCTGGGTGCATGCTGAGCCCAAGTGTGTGTGTGTGTGTGTGTGTGTGTGTGTGTGTGTGTGTGTACAGGCAATTGCAAAGGCGTAGAAGAGCTTTAGACAGGTGTCTGAGGAAAAGCTGAGTGTTGATTCCCTCTAGGAACCAGACTTCTCCTCCTTGGCTCTCCCTAATCGCAACTGTTTTTCTCACCGCCACGTTCCTCCCGCTAACCTGCCGTGTTTATGTAGCAACTAGATATTCTTGGGTTGGAGGGTGGGATAGGGAAGATACTTCTTCTGTCTGTACTAACGGGAATACACTGTCTATATACTACCTGCAGCTTGTACGTTTATTTGAAAAATACTGAAATATAAAAGCATAAATTTCCCCCTAAGTGCATCCCTTTCAAATGGGAAAGTCTCCACCTGAGGTCTGTGGTCCTGGTGGGGCGGCCATGGTGCTGCAGGTGGCAGGCTTGGAGGGAGGCATGGGCAGGGTGGAAGACCCGCCAGGCTGCTGTGTAGAAACCCACGTGGGGAGTGACAAGGGTGGCGTGTGGTCAGAAGGGGCCCTGTGCCAGGTGGACAGCTGGATGGGTGGTGGGCGGTCCAGGGAGTGTGTGGGGAGCTGCTGGTTTAGTGAGATTGGGCCAGAGGTGCCTGAGTAGGTGCGTGGAGGGCCCGGGTGCAGGATGCACAGCTGTTCTCGTGGGAGGAGGTCATGGTTACGGGAGAGCTGAGAGCTGTTGACGGTGCAGGCCGTTCTGACACCTGTCAGTCTGGGGTGGGAGGCTGGCAGGCTTCTCTCAAGTGTCAGCCATCTGCTGGTGGAGATGACATGTGCTTGTCTCCAAAGGGGCTGGGGTCTTTGGAGGGATGGCCGAGAAGTGGGGTGAGTCCAGAGATCCCCGGGGGAGTCCCATCTGGGAGGAGGGACCGAGACGAGAGTGGACTCGTCCCCAGAGTGGGACCAGAGCCCTGGTGCTGTGGGTGAGTGCTACGCTTCACGACCTCTTGGGTGCCATCCGTGCCCCTGTGTCCCCGCCTGGGTCCAAAGGTGGGTGTGATGTCTCCACCCCTGTGCTGCCAGCTGCTACTGTTTCTGGATTTTTGTGGGTAACAGCTTGCTTTCTAGCATCAGCTGACAATCTTTTCGTATCCTTAATGATTTTCTTGCTGCGCCTTCTGAGAACATTGCATGTTCAGAGGGGTTATTGAGGTTTTGAAAATGTGTGCTCCAGGAAGAAAACGTCCACAAGGTGTGTATTCAGTTAGTGCATGACTGCAGTGGCCGGCCCTGGAGTCACATTCGTTTCTGAAGGACAATAGGAAAAATGCTTAAAAAAAAGCATTTAAAAAAAAGCATTAAAAAAGCTTATTCATTATGTGTCGCTCCGAGCACGGTACAGATTACCCCCTTGGAATGATCGTCGTCAGAGTTTTGGGGTGAGGGGGCCTTCAGTCAGAGGCAGAAGGGCCCGTGGTGTCTGTGCCGCCTCACTTCCCGCCATGGCCTTCAGCGGTTCCTGTGCCTTGTCCCCTGCAGGTCTGAGTTCACTGACACCATCCTGTCCGTGCACCCCTCCGACGTGCTGGACATGCCGGTGGACCCAAACGAACCCACGTACTGCCTGTGCCACCAGGTCTCCTACGGGGAGATGATCGGCTGTGACAATCCAGACGTGAGTGTTGCCTGCGGGATTCGCGCCATGGGGCACGGTCTTGTGTGGGGCAGGGCTGGCGGGTGTTGGCATTTCCTGTGTTTTGCGTACAGAACATGAGGCGTGTTGACTGTGGTTTCTTCCTTTACTTTGCAGTGTCCAATTGAGTGGTTTCACTTTGCCTGCGTGGACCTTACCACGAAACCCAAAGGAAAATGGTGAGTGGGGATGCTCGCTCCGTTTTCTCCCAGCCTGCTGGGTGTCGGGCTGCTGGTCTCCCCAGGAGAAGGCGCTCGATGGCGGGATCTTGCCAGGCTTAGCGGGGCACGGTAGCCACGTAGGCATGCCCCACAGTGGCCTCGAGGAGTGTGGCTGGCTGGCTGGCTGCTCTGGATGTGGCTTTTTCCCTCCTTCGCTGCTGTGCCTGTCCGAGCCGGCAGAGGGATGTCCTCACCCCGGGACAGCGGTTACCAAGTTACGTAATATTCACGTTCACGGCCCCTCCTGAAGGACAACCTTCCGGACTCTGCGGGAGGTAGGGATCGTCTTAAATCAGAATGAGAGGTTCTTGTCCCCTAGGGAAGTCTGGGAAGGATAGCACGAGAGGTGAGTCCTGAAGCCGGGGCATGGATCTGGGGCCCGTGGCTCTGTCTGGTGGAGAAGAGTGCAGGTGCCAGGGGCAGTTTATCTTCCTGACCCTTGCATCCCCTTGGCGATGGCAACTTTCTGCATTGTTGTTCCTCAGATTTCATTTAAATAAAAACTTAGAGTCTGGGCAACATCGAGAGACCCCAGCTCTACAAAAAATACAAAAATTAGCTGGGCGTGGTGGTGCATGCCTGCGTCCCAACTACCTGGGAGGTGCAGGCGGGAAGGTGGCTTGAGTCTGGAAGTCCAAGGCTTCAGTGAGCTGAGATTGCGCCACTGCACTCCAGCCTGGGCGAGAGAGCAAGACCCTGTCTCAAATAAATAAATAAAAAGATAAAAACCTGGCTTTGTTTGCCTGTGCTGAAAATCTAAAAATGGATATATGTTCTGAAAATGAAATCGGAATGTGCTCTTCTGTGTGGCACTCAGAGGTCATCGTGGCAGCGTGTTTGAGACTCCGGCAGACTCGCCCGAGTTGGTGAGAGCCAGTTATCCTTGGTGTTCGGTGTGAGGACACAGAGGGAAAGGATGCTGTGTCTCGGAGGCTGGCCGAGCTCATGGTGTCATGTGGCATCAACACAGGCTGCCCTGTCACGGGGACACATGGCACTGCAGTGCCCCACGCTGTGCAGCCGAGGGACGGTGCATCAGGGTTTGGAGAAGGGGCATGGCGGCTATTAGGGCGGAGGGCCCTGGGCAGGCTCGGCCTGGGCCAGGCGGGGGTTGACAGTTGCCTTCACATGCAAGTCGGCTGCCTCCTGCATGGGGAACCTATGGAATGTCCTCTGTGGCCAGCAGCTGCCTCTGTTCAGGAGTTCCCGGTGCGTGCGGCTCCGGAACTTGCTCAGAGTCACCAGGGAGCACTTGTGAGACGGCAGCTTCCAGGGCCCGTGCAGGGTGCCTGGCTGGGTTTCTGTGGGCCTGAGGGGCTGCCATGCTCATGCGTGCTTGGTACCTGCAGCCCCCAGACTCCAGACAGAGGGCACCAGCGACCCTGCCATCGGCCGGGGAAGGAGGACCCACCTGTTAAGGAGGAACGCCTGGGTGTCAAATCGCTTTTGCTCATTGATGTGTATCTGTCAACTTCAGAACCAACCTCCCGCATAGAGCCGGGCACATAGGCGCGTTTTCCCTGCGGGAAGGCCGCAGCCCCACTGTGTGTGCCGCTCCTGGTGCCGGCCCCCCGGCCTCCAGCAGGCCTGGCAGACATGGGGAGGTGGGGCCTGGGCACGCTGCGCCCTGGTGGAAATGGCAACCAGGGCCTCACTGCGCCTTTCTTGTCACAGGTTCTGTCCACGGTGTGTCCAGGAAAAGAGGAAGAAGAAGTAGGAGGAGCTGTGTGCCCGGATCCGAGGAGCAAGTTAATCTCTTCCTTCATTCGTGTTGCAATATTTCCCTTCATTTTAAAACTACCTTGTTCGGTTGATACTTAGTAACTCCGTGGCCAGTTGAAATTCTGGATGTTTCCTAGAACAAGAACCCATCAAACCCTGTTCGCACAGAAGGGCGACCTTGCAGGGACTCGCCGCCTTGACGTTAGCGTGGCTTTTACAGGACCCCCCCCCCCGCGCATCAGCAGGGACCCCCCGCGGATGTGGCGGGCGCGTGAGCCCGGGCTGCCCGGCGAGCTGCGGGGACGTGGTAACCTGGTCCACGGCCACCGCTTTGCAGCGCGCGGCGCCACCCTTGCGTAGCTTTCCTGTGGTTTTCCAGGACTGTTTGGTACAGCCCAGGCTCCCTGCGCCCCAACGCCGCTGGAGCACGCCTGCCACTGAGCCGCGCGGGTGGGGCCCGTGCCTCCTCCCACTCAGCGCCGCGCCGCATCCGGCTGCCGTGCCCTCCTGCTTGGGCGCCTCTGACGGCCCGGGAGGGCTGGGGGCCCTTTTTCCGAGGAAGTGGCCTCCACTTCACTGCGCGCTGCCTTTTTAGCTTGGACTTCAGTTCTCCCTCGGGGGAGTCACCTCTGGAGTAAACGGCTCTTCATTAGCTTGGAGTAGCTGTGGGTCCTGTGACCAGCACCCACCAGACCCTGGAACAGAGCTGGGCTGATGTTCCGTTTCTCTGGGAATTGGTGATGTTTTTACTGTGAAGATGAAATTATCCTAATAGCATGAAGATCATGGGTCTACGTGTGTCTGTGAAGTGAGTCCCGTCTGCCAGGAGCTGATGAACCACGAATGCCTCTGCTTGTGCATTCCCAGGCCCGCAGCTCCCGTCCAAGGGGACTCTGATGTGAATTTGTTGTGAATTTATTGTGCCACAATAGCAGTTCTGGAATGAAGCTAGGAAACTCAAGTGTGCTTTTTGTTTAATCAGCATTCACCAAGCTGAGCTGGAGCCGTCTTTTCGGTGGTAGTTGGGGAAGGCTGTGCAGATTTGCTCTGCTGTGATGCGTTGGTGACGGTGCCTAGCCTGCGGTTCCCGACAGCAGCATCGCAGGCTCTCGGAAATCCTCTCCTGTGCCTTTAGAGGAAGGAGAGGATTCCTGAGGAATGCAGGGGAGCCTGTTTCTGTCCTCACACCACAGAAAGAAACCTGAGGGAAAACTGAGATGTGAGGTTCCCAACTTAAGCCTGGTTTTCTTCATGGTGGGGGGCCATTTCGAATGACAGCCTCACTTCCTCCTGATGGCTACATCTATATCTTTTCCTCCTGTTTTTAATGTTTCACTAGGGAGAGGAAATAAAGCAGAAAGGAACGTGTGAAGCTCTGTGTCTCAGACGGGGCCCTCCCCACGAGAAGCTGGTAGTCAGTGAGTGAGAACAAGAGAACAAGAACATCTTGAACAGTCCTGGTTGGGATGGTGTCCACATTCTTGTTCTGCGTTTCTTGAACCACATGGATGTCTCTGGGCCACCTGTCCTTTCTGGGAGCCGGCCGAGGGTGTGGGGCAGTGGGTGGGAGTGGATCCTCTGGGCGCAGGTGCCCGGCAGGTGCAGGCGGGCAGTGGGCCACTGCTGCTGCTCGTCCCTGCCAGTGTCTGGACCTGAAGGGGCTCCCTCCAAGCGATGCCTTCCTGTGGCTCAGAAGGGAAAGTGTCAGAGAGGGCAGGCTACACTGTTTCACACCCTCAGCCACGGCTGTGAAAATGGGTGGGTTTTGTTGGGTTTTTTCCTTTTTGAGACAGCGTCTTGCTTTGTCGCCCAGGCTGGAGTGCAGTGGTGCGATCTGGGCTCACTGCAAGCTCCACCTTCTGGGCTCAAGTGACCCTCCCACCTCAGCCTCCTGAGTAGCTGGGATTACAGGCATGCACCATCAGGCCCAGCTAAGTTTTGTATTTTTGTTGGAGACGGGGTTTCACCATGTTGGCCCGGCTGGTCTCAAACTCCTAGGGTCAAATGATCCGCCTGCGTCGGCCTCCCAAAGTGCTGGGATTACAGGTGTGAGCTGCTGTGCTCAGCTGGGAGATGGGTTTTCACGTAATGACTTAACTTTTTGTTAATAGGTTTTGTGTGTGTATGTGTGTGTTTTGTTTTTTGTTTTTTTTGAGACGGAGTTTTGCTCTTGTCACCCAGGCTGGAATGCAATGGCACCATCTTGGCTCACTGCAACCTCTGCCTCCTGGGTTCAAGTGATTCTCTCGCCTTGGCCTTCCGGGTAGCTGGGACTACAGGTGCCCACCACCACGCCTGGCTAATTTTTGTATTTTTAGTAGAAACGTGGTTTCGCCGTGTGTGGCCAGCCAGGACTCGAACTCCTGACCTGAAGTGATCCACCCGCCTTGGCCTCCCAAAGTGCTGGGATGACTGGCATGAGGCACCACACCTGGCCAACACAGATGCTTAATGATCGTGGAGAATACATTGTGGAAAATTTTCTTCTCTCTTTTACCTTATTATGAGACGGAGTCTCCCTCTGTCACCCAGGCTGGAGTGCAGTGGTGCGATCTCGGCTCACTGCAAGCTCCGCCTCCCGCGTTCATGCCATTCTCCTGCCTCAGCCTCCCGAGTAGCTGGGACTACAGGTGCCCACCACCATGCCCGGCTAATTTTTTTGTATTTTTTAGTAGAGACGGGGTTTCACCGTGTTAGCCAGGATGGTCTCAATCTCCTGATCTTGTGATCCACCTGGCTCAGCCTCCCAAAGTGCTGGGATTACAGGCGTGAGCCACCGCGCCCAGCCCTCTTATACCATTTTTGTGAAGAGGGATAGGTAAGTGCAGGGAGTTTGTGCTGAAACAGTACCTGGCAATTTTTCAGAAATGAGTTCGATATTTCACTCCACCTTTGAGCTGTTCACACCCATGGCTACCCCTGGAAGGAGCTGGGGTTGTTGATGCTTTTGGCTGCCTGGCTTCCTGAGGTCTCGCTGTTTTCTGGGGAAAGATGACTGGCTTCCACGTGGGAAGCTTCTGTCTAACACGTGATGATGTGGTCCTGCCTGCCACTGTGCACCTTCCCAGGTATTGAATTTTGACCTTTTCACGTTTCTGTGCTTATGTGTTTTTAATGTTTACTTTTGCCACTTACGATAATATCACCAAAATAATATGCAGAGAGTTTTGGAAGAAACACAGAAAACATGAGCAGAATGAGACAATTCCTTGGGCTGTAGTTTGGACCCAACTGAATCCTGAGTACTCTGTGGCTGATGCTGTGCTAGCCGTGGGAGAGACACACTCAGGAGTGGCTGTTTGGCCAGAAAAGAAGGTCATGGCCCCTGGCCTGGCCCCAGCCCTGCAGGGACACAGGAGCCACACCATTTGCAGCATCCACACCTTGCTCCAGAAGGCCTGGCTGCCTTCTCCCGGGGGGTGATTCAGGGATTTAGTCTTGGACCAGACCCCCCTCCACAGCTGCCCAGCTCCAGACCCATCTCCTGGATTGAGAGTGTCTGGGCTGGACCCAGTGGGTCACTCTGGCAGCTTCATCTGAGCCGAAGGTGTGGGTCCTCTGTGGCTGTGTGATTGACCTCTATGGGAAGGAGCGTTCTGCCCATTTTCCTTGTTTTCAGTGTTGCGGTATCAGACAGTGATCTGAGGAAATCCTGTAGGGGAAGGCAGGCTGCTTTGAAAAAAGGAGCTGGCGAAACTGAGCCCTCTGCATCTGTGAATGTGCCCCAGGTGCTGCTGCTGGGGACATGGATGCCGAGCAGAGGCCTGCATGGCCTCCTGAGCAGCAGCTGACCACCTGTCTCATGTTGGGCGGGACCCCTGGGCTGGTGGACACGAGACCACTGTTGGCCAGGGACACCGAGCGGAGGCCTACGTGGCCTCCTGAGCAGCAGCTGACCGCCCGTCTCATGTTGGGTGGGACTCCTGGGCGGGTGGACATGAGACCACTGTTGGCCAGGGACACCGAGTAGAGGCCTATGTGGCCGCCTGAGCAGCAGCTGACCACCTGTCTCACTGTTGGCCAGGGCTTTGTGGCGTGGGTGTTTTCCAGTCTGCCTGGAGCAGCGAGCAGCAGCTGTGCAGACCAGTGGCGGTGGGAGGGTTTGCCGGGACAGATGGGGACACTGGCCAGCTTGTCTTCTGTCCAGCAGCCCCACTGTACTTGGCCTCCTGTCCTGTCATTGGGAGCCCTGGCTGGGGCTGCTTTGAGCAGTGACGCTGGCCCAGAGCAGCTTCCCACATGACCACAGAGCCGAGGGTCTGCCCTGTCCTAGGTTAGGTCTTCATGGTTTAGAATAAAACTGTGAGAGATGTTTATTATGGGCATTGAAGACTTAGGTTTTCCTAAATTTTCAGTGACCAGTGATCGGCCTTCAATACCTGTGCTGAGAGGAATTTTAAGCCAGGGGAAATGTGAGAAAATGTTCCCATTCAGGAGAGACTGTACTGGAGTTTCTTTCTTCCTCTGTATTTTGTGGTGTTCACCTTTAACCACATTTCATCCAAAAAGATGACGCAGCTTTAACATGAATGTTACATTTTTATTTTCAAGGAATTATTATCTATGTTCCCTTTGTAAAGGAAATATTGTAAATCTTTTTATTAGATAATGTAAAGATGTATATCAGTATTTTTGGATCATGTTATAGATTATGGATATATTGTTTAATAAATAAAGTATTTTTTGGAACAAACAGTTGAAAGTACATCTGTATTAGCCCGTTTTCACGCTGCTGATAAAGACATACCCAAGACTGGGTAATTTATAAAGAAAAAGAGGGTTCTTTAAAAAAAAATTTTCTTTTTTCTTTTTTTGAGACAGTCTTCTTGCTCTGTCACCCAGGCTGAAGTGCAATGGTACTGCGTGATCTCGGCTCACTGTAACCTCTGCCTCCCGGGTTCAAGCGATTCCCCTGCCTCAGCCTCCTGAGGAGCTAGGAGTACAGGAGCACGCCACCACACCCTGCTAATTGTTGTATTTTTAGTAGAGATGGGGTTTCGCCATGTTGGCCAGGCTGATCTTGAACTCCTGACCTCAGGTGATCCACCTGCCTCAGCCTTCCAAAGTGTTGGGATTACAGGCGTGAGCCTCTGCGCCTGACAGAAAAAGAGGTCTAATGGACCCTCAGTTCCACATGGCTGGGGAGGCCTCACAATCATGGCAGGAGGCAAAAGGCACATCTTACATGGCGGCAGACAAGAGAGAATGAGAGCCGAGTGAAAGGGGTTTCCCCTTATAAAACCATCAGATCTCGTGGGACTCATTCACTACCACGAGAAAGGTATGGGGGAACCACCCCCATGATTCAGCATCATTCTGGGAAATGGGTGTAAAATGTCAGTATTGTGCCCAGAGACAAGTGTGTGAAGTTGAATTTTGAAGGGGTATGCAGTGATTGGAGAGTGGTTTGCGGAGCTTGCTGGCTGGGGGTCTGCGGAGGACCCTGTGCCTTACCTTGGGTGGTTGCTCAAGTTCACTTCCAAGGAAGACGTGTGAGAATGCTGCAGTTGCTCTAAGAGAGTACTGTGCTTGCTCTGGAAGGGCAAGACTTGCTGTGTTGTACTTGCCCTTTGGAAGCTGCTGGAGTCAGCTTGGGCTCTGTATTAGTCCATTCTTGCATTGCCAGAAAGAACAACCTGAGACTGTGTAATTTATAAAGAAATGAGGTTTAATTGACTCACAGCTCTGCAGGCTGTACAGGAAGCATGGCGGGGAGGCCTCGGGAAACTTACATCACGGCAGAAGGCGGAGGGGAAGCAAGCACATTTTACCATGGCGGACCAGGAGAGAAAGGGAGCAGAGGGGAAAGGTGCCACGCTTTTAAACAAGCAGGTCTCCTGAGAGCTCACTCATTTTCACAAGAACAGCAAGGGGGAAATCTGCCCCCATGAGCCAGTCACCTCCCACCAGGCTCCTCCCTCAATATTGGGGATTACAATTTAACATAAGATTTGGGCGGAGACACAAATCCAAACCGTATCAGGTTATCACAATGTCACAGACTGGGGGGCTTAACAAAAATGTCTCTTATTTCTGGAGATTGGTAGTCCAAGATTAAGGTGCTGGTGTTGTCTGGTGCCAGTCCAGGGCTCTTCCCTTGGGTTGCCAACACTGCCTTCTCACGTGTGCCGACATGACTGACTGGGAGAGGGAGCTCTCTGGTGTCTCTTATTTTACGGACGCATGTCCTGTCGGATCAGGACCCCACCCTTGTGACTGACTTTAACCTTAATTACTTCTTCAGAAGTCCCATTTCCAAATATGGCCATATTGGGGGTTACAGCTTCCGCATACGAATTCTGGGGGACACAAACCTAATAGGAGCTGATGGGTCTCAAAACGTTGCCTCGAGCAGTGCATTAACAGAACCTGGGAAGAGCTTGGTCCTCACGAGGTACAGTCGGCCCCTCACCCACCATCCAGGTGAAACCAATCTGCAGACCAGCGTCTTCGCTGGAAGAGGAGGCTGATGCTGGGGGAAGGGCCCCACAACACTGAAACCAGCACATGCCATGTTTTCCTCCAAGCATTCTCCAAGGGTACATGTGGGCTTTGCCAGGGGTCTGTGCCCTGGGAAAAAGAAAAATCAGTTGTTATTATTTTTTGAGAGAGTTGTTTTTTTGTTTTGTTTTGAGACAGAGTCTCACTCTGTAGCCAGGGCTGGAGCGCAATGGTGTGATCTCAGCTCACTGCAACCTCTGCCTCCCAGGTTCAAGCCATTCTCTTGCCTCAGTCTCCCGAGTAGCTGGGATTACAGGCGCCCACCACCACGCCCGGCTAATTTTTTTATTGTTGGTAGAGACAGGGTTTCACCATTTTGGCCAGGTTGGTCTCAAACTCTCGACCTCAGGTGATCCACCTGCCTCAGCCTCCTAAAGTGCTGGGATTACGGGCGTAAGCCACCGTGCCTGGCCAGAAAAATCAGTTATTTTAGGGGGTGGTATGGGTGGTAATCTTTATGAGTTCTGAATCATTCCTAATCCCAGGGGTCCAAGATGCCACTGGCCTGCTAGTCAGAGGGAGGGCGTGTGGAGGTCAGGTGGTAAGGGGGTCCACAGGAGGGCGTGTGGAGGTCGGGTGGCAAGGGGGTCCACAGGAGGGCGTGTGGAGGTCGGGTGGCAAGGGGGTCCACAGGAGGGCGTGTGGAGGTCGGGTGGTAAGGGGGTCCACAGACCTCATCTGTGGTTCTTTCCAGTTCCTGAATGTGTAATTGAAACAGTCACACTTGACAATGGGAAACTCCCACACCGGCCTGCAGAGGAAGGGCCAGCCAGGTAGGAAGGGCCAGGTGGACGTCACCTTCCCAGGGTTGTAGTCCAAAGGCAAAATGCATTGCTGACTTGGAAGAGCCCTGCATGGGTGATTCACCTGGGAAGAAGGTGAGTGGCCCTTGGGGATGTGGTTAAGGAGGACGGGAATGACTCCATTCAACTGCTGCTCCAGAGCCTCATCACCAGGACAAATCCAGCATGCCGGTTTTCTGTGTGACTACGAGGACCCATCTGCTGTCATGGGCGTAGCCTCCGCCTCTTGCACAGCTCCACAGTCTGGCCTCTGGACCGAGTGCGGGCTCCTGCTCTCTGCCCTCATCTGCTCAGAGATCTGCATCGTCTGCACCCTCTGGTTCTATGGAATTGGGTGAGCTGAAGTAACAAGTACTTTGGGAGGTCGCGCGGATGGCTTGAGTCCAGGAGTTCGAGACCAGCCTGGGCAGCACATGAGACCCCCCCCCCCATCTCTACAAAAATACAGTAACAAAAAATTAGCCGGGCGTGGTGGCACACGCCCGTAGTCCCAGCTACTTGGGTGGCCGAGGTGGGAGGACGGTTTGAGCTCGGGAGGCAGAGGTTGCAGTGAGCTGAGATCACCCCCGGAACTCCAGCCTGGGCAACAGAGCTAGACCCTGTCTCCAAAACCCACAAAACAAGTGCTGGCGATGCCTCAGGAAGAGGAGCCCAGGCCGGGAGGCTTCTCGGGACAGCAGGTACTGCGTCAGGAGGCCAGGAGCTCCCCAGGTGTGCGAAGGGTTTGAGGGCACGGAGGGCTGAACAGGCGGAAGCGGACACGGAGGCAAGAAAACACCTGCAGGAGGCAGCTGCCCTCTAAGCTAAGGCTGGGGGCCCAGGAGGGGTGGTCCGTGCAGGAGCTGGGGGAGGGAGGCCGCTGGCGAAAGGGGCGCCCCCTGGGCACGGCCTCGGGGGAGCGGGCCGGCCCCCAGGTCCCTCAGCCGAGCCCCCGTACCGGGCCTCGTTCTGGAGAACGCTCCGGCTGCTGCTTGGGCGTCTTGGGCTGCGCTCAGCCTAGTCCCTTCCCTACCTGAAGGGAGGCGCCCGACAGCCTGGACGCCGGAGGCCCTCCGGGAACGCAGGACGAGGGAGCGGCGATTGACCCTCCGAAGCCAGTCGGGGCGGGGCTTGGATGGCGGGGCGGGGCATGGAGGGCGGGAATGACGAGAGGGGCGGGACCTGTTAGGAGCGCGGGGCGGGGCTTCGATGGCAGGGCGGAGCCGTCAATGCGCAGGCGTGGCGTCGTCCCGCCCACTCCGGCCTAGCGGCTCTGGGCCTGCGGTGGGCGCTGAGGGTTGGAACCCGGGACGTGGTCGCGGGTGCGTGCGCGCGGCCGCCCGGAGCGCTCGGCTGAGGTTCCCGGGCTGCGGTTCCACGGCGGGTGGGGGTCGCGGGGCGCGATCTCGGGCGCCTCCAGCCAATCTGTGCCTGTGAGCGGGGGTGGGGGCGGCACTGCAGCTCGTCACGTGACCGCGTGGAAGGCGCGCGCGTCCGCGGGGTCCCCTTGGGGGCGAGCGTGGCGGCTTGGGGTCCGGGGCAGGTCCCGGCGAGGCCGCCGCGAGCCTGCGTGTCGCTAAGTCCAGGCCGGCTGCGGGGCTTCGCGCGCTCGCGGGGTTGCGGGCCGGGCCGGGGGAGGGCCCGGGTGCTGGGAGCCTTCCCCTTGGCTGCCCTCCTGCCCCTCTCCCTGCTTCTGCAAGCGTTTTTCAAGTTGTACAATGTGCATAAAACGTGAAATTCCCCTTGGCCATTTCCAGGCGCGCAGCCAGCAGCTCCCGGCCCTTGACCCCCGGGCCCTGAGTACCGGCCTCGCCCCGAAGGAGGAGCCCGAGGCCTCCGTCCCGGCGGCGATGCTGCCCCGTCAGCTGCTGGCGCGGCCCGCGTGGTTGTTCCGGTGTCCCCCGGGGCCGCGCGGGGCCTGTGCCCCGGGAGCCGCGGGTTCTTGGGGTCGGCCGGTTGGCCCCCTGGCCCGCAGGGGCTGCTGCTCCGCCCCCGGGACCCCGGAGGTGCCGCTGACCCGGGAGCGCTACCCCGTGCGGCGCTTGCCGTTCTCCACGGTGTCTGAGCAGGACCTGGCCGCCTTTGAGCGCATCGTGCCCGGCGGGGTCGTCACGGATCCGGAGGCGCTGCAGGCTCCCAACGTGGACTGGATACGGACGCTGCGAGGTGGGTGAGGCTTGGGAAGCTGCGGCGGGGCCTGCTCTCCTGCGCCTTCTGGTGGAGGCTTCAAATCGGGCTGAGAACGAGCTGGGTGGGGGTGCCAGCCCCTGGCTGCGCTGAGAGGGGCGTGTGCACCGCCACAGGCTGCTGGAGTAAAGGACCACGAACGAGTCGCTTAGAACAACCCAAGTTTTTATTTTTTTATTTTCTTTTATTTTCTTTTTTCTTTTTTTTTTTTTTTTTTTTTGAGACGGAGTCTCGCTCTGTCGCCCGGGCTGGGGTGCAGTGGCCGGATCTCAGCTCACTGCAAGCTCTGCCTCCCGGGTTTACGCCATTCTCCTGCCTCAGCCTCCCGAGTAACTGGGAATACAGGCGCCCGCCACCTCGCCCGGCTAGTTTTTTGTATTTTTTAGTAGAGACGGGGTTTCACCGGGTTAGTCAGGATGGTCTCGATCTCCTGACCTCGTGATCCGCCCGTCTCGGCCTCCCAAGGTGCTGGGATTACAAGCTTGAGCCACCGCGCCCGGCCTATTTTATTTTATTTTGAGACGGAGTCTTACTCTGTCGCCAGGCTGGAGTGCAGTGGCACGATGTCGGCTCACTGCAACCTCCGCCTCTCACGTTCAAGTGATTCGTCTGCCTCAGCCTCCCTAGTAGCTGGAACTACAGGCGCCCGCCACCACGTCCCACTAATTTTTGTATTTTTAGTAGAGACAGGGTTTCACCATATTGGCCAAGATGGTCTCAATCTCTTGACGTCGTGATCCGTCCACCTCTGCCTCCCAAATTGCTGGGATTACATGCGTGAGCCACTCCGACAACGCCCGGCCAGCAACTCAACTTTGTCGGGCGCAGTGGCTCTGCCAGTATTCTCAGCTGCCCTGGAGGCTGAAGCCAGAAGTTCAAGACCAGCCTGGGCAACGTAGCAAGACTCCCCCACCGCCGCCTCTCCCCCATTGTCTCTAAAAATAAAAATAAATAAATAAATAAATAAATAAATAAAATTAGCCAGCCCAGGATTAAAAAAACAAACAGTAACAAAGTTACTCCAGCCCAGGAGTTCAAGTTTGCAGTGGAATGTGATCTCACCACTGCATTCCAGCCTGGGCAACACAGCAAGACTTCATCTCTAAAACAAAACAATTCCCCTCCCCACCAAACCCCACAAGTTTATTCTTTAAGCTCTGGAGGCCAAAAGTGTGAAATCAGGGTATCACAGGGCTGCGCTCCCTCCACTCCCTCCAAAGCCTCCAGAGAAGGCTCCTTCCTGCCTCTTCTAGCTCCTGGTGGCCCCAGATACCAAATTACTCCAGTCTCTGCCTCTGTTTTTCATACAGGTTTCTCTTCTCCGTGACACTTCTCCATCTGTCTTATAAAGACACTTCTCATTGGATTGAGGGCCCACCCTAATCGGGATGATCTCACCTCAGTACTGTCAACTTAATTACACCTGCAAAGACTGTTTTTCCTTTTTTTTCTTTTTTGAGATGAAGTCTCACTCTTGTTTCCCCGGCTGGAGTGCAGTGGTGCGATCTCGGCTCACGGCAACCTCCCTGTCCTGGGTTCAAGCAATTCTCCTGCTTCAGCCTCCCAAGTAACTGGGATTACAGGCGCCCGCCTCCACGCCTGGCTAATTTTTGTATTTTTAGTAGAGACGGGGTTTCACCATGTTGACCAGGCTGGTCTTGAACTCCTGACTTAAGGTGATCCACTCACCTTGGCCTCCCAAAGTGCTGGGATGACAGGCATGAGCCCCGGCGCTCAGCTGGACCATTTTTTCTTTTTCTTTTTTCTTTTTTGAGACGCAGTCTCGCTCTATCGCCCAGGCTGGAGTGCAGTGGCGCGATCTCGGCTTACTACAAGCTCTGCCTCTTGGGTTCACTCCATTCTCCTGCCTCAGTCTCCTGAGTAGCTGGGACTACAGGTGCCCGCCACCATGCCCGGCTAATTGTTTTTGTATTTTCAGTAGAGACAGGGTTTCACAGTGTTAGCCAGGATGGTCTCGATCTCCTGACTTCGTGATCTGCCTGCCTTGGCCTCCCAAAGTGCTGGGATTACAGGCATGAGCCACTGCGCCCAGCCCCGTTTTTTCAAATAAGGTCCCATTCACAGGTCCTGGGGCATTGAGAAGCGGACATATCTTTTTGGAACCCACTAGGTAAGATGAAGGGCTCCTGGCTGGCCACGCCTGCTCCTCTCCTCCCACTGCACTCCTGCCCACTGGCTTACAAGTCTGTGCATGAATGAGGAACTTCTCAGCCTCCGGGGCTGGCACTTCCTTTTGGTAACAGTGCCCAGTTTTCTGTTATTTTTATTTTATTTATTTTTTTGAGACTGAGTCTTGCCCTGTCAGGGTGGAGTGCAGTGGCACAATCTCCGCTTACTGCAACCTCCACCTCCTGGGGTCAAGTGATTTTTGTCTCAGTCTCCTGAGTAGCTGGGACTACAGGCCTCCGCCACCACAGCCAGCTAATTTTTGTATTTTTTCAGTAGAGATAGGGTTTCACCATGTTGGCCAGGCTGGTCTCGAACTCCTGACCTCAGGTGATCACACACCTCGGCCTCCCAAAGTGCTGGGATTACAGGCATGAGCCACCACGCCTAACCCAGTTTTCTCTTATGAAATGATTGCAGGCTGGTGTGGCAACTCACACCTGTAACCCAGTTCTGTGGGAGATCACTTGAGCCCAGGAGTTCAAGACCAGCCTGGGCAACATGGTGAAACTCTATCTCTACAAATAATTAAAAATTAGCTGGGTGTGGTGGTGTGTGTCTGTGGTCCCAGCTGCTTGGGAGGCTGAGGTGGGAGGACAGCTTTAGCCTGGGAGGTTGAGGTTGCAGTAACTGTAACGGTACTACTGCTGTCTAACCTGGGTGATAGAAAAAAATGATTTCTGAGATAACATAACCTATGTGCTTACACAATTTAAAAAAGTCAACGTGGTGTTCTTGCTAAAATAGTAAAGTGAGGTAGAAGAGAATTGGTTGACTCTAATTTACAACAAAATGATATATTTAAACCTGTAGCACTGGCACCAGGTCCTGGGGCTGAACGTAGGGTGTGCTGTCATTGGGAAGATCTGGAATTTTTTTTATCTTTTTGTTGTTGTTGTTTTGGCCCTTGTAGAAGATTGAAAGTATTAAGAATACTCAGAGTTTCCAGACCATGTAATCTGGGAGTGCAGTGTATGTTAAAACAGTTCAGAAAGTTAGCAAGTTGAACTGGGGTCTAGGCTCAGATAATGGAAGCAGCTCTTTCCCTGCAGAAAGGCTGGGAGTCACTGGAAATCGCTGGACCAATGGTCACTACGTAGGAGCTCTCTTGAGTGGAACGGCCCCCACCCTCACCCTGCTCCCTAAATAAGGATCCCTCTGGGGCGATCTCAAGCTGCAGCCTTGAGCGTCCACCATGGCCCAGGGCCTGAGTGTTGTCCCTGGAGCCAGGTGAGGATGGACGCCCACTCTGGGCTTGACTAAGTCAGGCCCCAGTCCTGGCTCAGCACTGCTGCCTGGGTGACCCTAGGCAGTTGACCCTCAGTGCCTGCCCTACAAAATGAGGCTTGGAGCTGCTGCCTTGAGAACACCATGTGGGTGAGTGGGGCAGGAACCTAGCGTGAGCCTTGAGCACAAGGCTTGGATTCCTGTGCTCCCAGCCTGCACAGAGGCCAGCACCCTGGGCTATGCTGCTGCTGCCCTAGTGGGCAAGGGGGCTCTCCCAGGGCTTGCAGGAGTGGGGTGGAAGCTATAACTGAGATTGAGGGGTGGCTACACTATTCCTCTCCCCTGCCTTGCCTGAGCCTGACTGGGCAAGAATTGGCTGTCCCCCGGGACCCCTCTCTCCAGTCAGCACCCTTTTTGGATGTCCGTGGCCATGGACACTCTGTCTTGCTGCAAGGCCGCCCCTCAGTGTCTGTGTGCGCCTGTGGGAGGGCACCTTCCTCTGCATCCTGCTGCCCGGAGTTTGGTGAGGGTAAGGCTGAATTTCACTCATCTTTGAGTCCACAGGTTTGGTCCTGAATGTCTGCTCAGTAGGTGTTTACTGAGATGAGGCTTAGTTGTTGAATTTTAGATGAATTGCCCCTTAGTGTGGCTTGCTTTTGGAGAGAGAGCATGTCTAGACTTCTAAAAACTCATTAAACATCATATTCAAAAATCTAGACCATTTGCTCCGGATGGATGCTGCAGACGTTTAGTGAGCATGCCTGCACTGGCGGGAAGGTGGGGGTTTCGCGGTGTGAAAACAGGCTGGACCCTTGCGTCACCTCTGGCGGCTCTGCCCCCACGGCCCCCTCTCTCTTTGTGGGGCCCCCATCGTTAACACTGGACCACTGGGAGGGAGCCATCCTTGTTGTCCTTCCCGTTAGAAGGTAAACATCACAGGAGTGGGAAATTCTGTCCTTCTGTCCGCATTCTGTGTCTGGAATGCGGCCTGGCCTGCATTCTGGGGCGCACTCATGTATGTGTTGACAACCCTGTCACAGGTGCGTCCCAAGTGTGCCCAATTCGAAAGCTTTGCCATGAGTCCTGGGGCTCCCGAGCTGAGTTGGGGACAGGGATGCAGCGAGCGCAGGTGCCACAGTTCCCTCAGGTGCTGCGCTGAAGTGTCGGCCAAGGCCCAGGCGCCCAGCAGGCCCCTCTGCAAACATTGCTGGTTTGATAAAAGAGAGATTAAGTGGCTTTCCGATCAGAAAAGTAAGGTGGACACCACAGCCTGGTTCTCAGAGCTCCGTGAAGAGGTGACAGGCACCTGTGACTGCACCTGCCGTCTGTCTGCAGCCCCCATCACCTGGGAAAGTCATCTCAAGGAAACCCAAAGGCAGAAAGACGCCAGCTCACTTGGGGCAGCAGTGGTTAGCAACGCCGGCCAACTAGCTTAGAGGGCTCCTATTGGTCACATCCAGGCACTCAGCAAATAAGGCAGCCGAGACTTACAGCCCAGTGAATAAAATGAGAAGCCGAGAGCCCTCATCACTGTGAATAAGCAGCTACGTAAACGTGTCAGTGGGAGCGAGGGGAAAGCCCTCCCTCGTGGCAGAGTCAGCTAAGAGGCCAGGCGCAGCGACTCATGCTTGTAACCCCAGCCCTTAGGGAGGCTGAGGTGGGTGGATTGCTTGAGGCCATGAGTTCAAGAGCAGCCTGGGGAACATGGCAAAACCCTGTTTCTACTAAAAATATCAAAATTAGCTGAGCGTGGTGGCAGGCACCTGTAGTCCCAGCTACCTGGGAGGCTGAGGTGGGAGGATCACTTGAGGCCAGGAGGTTGAGGCTGCAGTGAGCTGTGATTGTACCACTGCATTCTAGCCTGGGTGACAGAGTGAGACCCTGTCTCAAAAGAAATGAAATGTAGGTGGACGATTGGATTTAGGAAAATCACTCGTTGGCAACCATCCTAGTAACTGATTCAGTCTAAGATAATCAAAGATGTTAATGGGTGAAGCTTGAGGAGCGACAGGATGTCCACAAGGTCTCAAGTGTCTGCGTGTGAGGTGCGCACACATCATGAAACGAAGTGTGGTGGCGTGGCAGGAGGGAAGCCTGCAGACAGCCTGTTACCATGGAACCGAACTGACCTCACCACAAGTGAGTGGGCACCCTCAGAGCCGCCAATGCCTGGCCTGTGGGACTCTCGTCCAAGGGCCCAGCCTCACCCACCTCTGCACACTGCCCAGTGCCCGGCCTGCCACCTCCCACGTGGGACCTAGTTTTGGTTTTTTTGAGACGGGGTCTTGCTCTGTCACCCAGGCTGGAGTGCAGTGTTGCGACCATAGCTCACTGCAGCCTCGACCTCCTGGGCTCAGGTGATTCTCTCTCCTCAGCTTCCCAAATAAGATCACTGTCTGGGGGCTGGGCATGGTGGCTCACGCCTGTAATCCCAGCACTTTGGGAGGCCACGGTGGGCAGATCATGAGGTCAGGAGTTCAAGACCAGCCTGGCCAATGTGGTGAAACCCCATCTCTACTAAAAATACAAAATTTAGCCAGGTGTGGTGGCGGGTGCCTGTAATCCCAGCTACTCGGGAGGCTGAGGCAGGAGAATTGCTTGAACCCGGGAGGGAGAGGTTGCAGTGAGCCAAGATCGTGCCACTGCACTTCAGCCTGGGCAACAGAGTGAGACTCCGTCTCCAAAAGAAAAAAGCTCGCTCTGGGGAGAGCGCCCACTTGCCTCATCTGCAGCTCCCCCAATGCTGTCTCACGGGGTTTCCTTCCCGTCACAGGCTCTAGCAAGGTGCTGCTGAGGCCACGGACCTCGGAGGAGGTGTCCCACATCCTCAGGTGAGGTGGTGGCGCCCGGCTCCCCCAAGCCCTTCTGTGTTGCCTGCCGGTCATTTCCTCGTGGAGCCTGTGGGCAGCTGGGGTGACGTGGTGCGAAGCCAGCCGATGACATCTTGGTTTGTGTGTCTCAGTGTTTGTTCTGTGGTTTTTAAGTGCTATCTCAATGCATCTATGGTGTGTAATCATTTCCCCCCATTTGGCAATGCCCCTGCACATTTCTTGGCACCATCTGTAACAGCAAAGATCCTCCCCCATGGACACGCTACAGGGTGGCACTCGTCTCCAGGTTTCCATGATTGTAGACAGTGCTTTAGATCATCCTCAGCAGGTACTTTGTGGCAATTTGCACTTACTCTGTTAAACTCCGTCCCTGGGGCTTGCCTCCAGGGTTTATTTAATGTACGTGGGCAGATTCCTCTCTCCAGGTCAGGGAGCTTTGGTTTCTCCAAACCCTCACCCGTTGGGTGTGCTCAAGGCTTTGGGGCTTTGCAAAGGTGCAGACTGGTTGGGAGGGAGGTGTCCTTGGGCACACATCTGGGGGATGACGGGCCAAGGCTGGGGAGATGCAGGCAGAGGGTGGAAGGGGGTGGGGGCGGTGCGGTCGAGGAGCCCTGAGCTGGGCCCTCTGTGACCACAGTGTGAACGGGAAGGATGGGAGCGGGGTGTGTAGGACGTTCTGTCCTGTGCGGGAAGTCTTTTAGGACATAGAATCGGGGCCTCCACTTCCGTCACCCTGTGCACGGCTCCTGGATTGGCATCTGTCCTTCCTCAGAATCCCTCACATGCGTGGGCTGGGGAGGAACCGCCGCCGGGGCTGCAGGCAGAGCAGAGTAATCAGGATTTGGGGTCAGGCACTGGTCCTGTGGCGTGTCCTTGGGGATGGTAGCGTGGGGGTGGGGACAGAGCCCCGATATCCCTCCTGTCCTCATCCCAGGCACTGCCATGAGAGGAACCTGGCCGTGAACCCACAGGGGGGCAACACAGGCATGGTGGGTGGCAGCGTCCCCGTCTTTGACGAGATCATCCTCTCCACTGCCCGCATGAACAAGGTCCTCAGCTTCCATAGTGTGTCTGGTAAGCCTGTGCCGCCCTTCGGGGCCCAGGTGTCCCTCCTGGTGCTGGTGGAGTTCTTCCTTGCCAGTGTCTGCGACTCGCAGTGCTTGGGTGGGCGAATGAGTCAGGGACGGGGCTGGGGAAAGAACCAACGTCTGTAGCCTGGCCGCCCAGCCCCACCTCGCCTGGCCCCTCCAGACATGCCTGCTGTGGGGTCACTTTGATGACGTATGGTGAGGGCTGTCACTCCGGTCCCTTCTGGCTCCAGCCCGCTCTGGAGGTGTGTGCGGTGCAGAGTGGCAGGCAGAGGGGATCCTGTGCTCACATGGCACGGCAGACCCAGGGCGCCAGGGCGTGGCAGGCGTGAGGGGATCCTGACCCAGGGCGCCAGGGCGTGGCAGGTGTGAGGGGATCCTGTGGTCACGTGGCGTGGCAGACCCAGGGTGCCAGGGTCTTGCTCTGGAGCTGGGCCTCTCCCCACAAGGCCGGGCTCCAGGCCCCGGTCACTCTCTGGTCAGGCACCTGCACTGTAGGGTGTTGAGCAGCATCCCTCTGCCTACGAGGTGCCCATGGCACCCCCAACCCAGAATGTCTCCAGACACTGTCCCACGTGCCCAGTGCCAGGATCAGCCCCAGCCGAGAATCTTCCCCCTTCTGCTCCTTTCCAGGAGCATGTGTGTGGGTGGGAAGTTTTTCCCTCTCTTTTCATGTTACCCATTTTTCTTTTGTGTCACTGTAATCATAAAGGTGCTGTTAGGCCCGGATGTTTTCAGCCTTGGGCCAGCGATGTGGGGGCGCCTCTTCTCCTCGGCCCTGGCGCTGAGGCTGATGTTCCTTCTGGGTGGGCTGCCCGTGCGGGATGGGGGTGGGCCCCACCAGCCCCGGGCCCACTGGAAGCCGAGTGCTGTGGCAGCCTGGTCGCTCTCTGCAGGAATTCTGGTTTGCCAGGCGGGCTGCGTCCTGGAGGAGCTGAGCCACTACGTGGAGGAACGGGACTTTATCATGCCACTGGACTTAGGAGCCAAGGGCAGCTGCCACATCGGGGGAAACGTGGCAACCAACGCCGGGGGCCTGCGGTTTCTTCGATACGGCTCACTGCATGGGACTGTCCTGGGCCTGGAAGTGGTGAGCTGGGGCGGCCGCTTGGCGCAGAGGTGGCCATGGGGTGTCCTCTTGCGGCTCTCGTGGGCCCACGTGGTAGTGCAGGTGCATGGGGCCCCTCGGGGTGGGAGGTCTTGGTTCCCGGCCCTGGGCCCCTCAGGGACGTGCGGGCTACATACACCCCCATCCTGAGGGAGGCCTGGCCCTGCCCTGCCCTCCCATGAGAGGGTGATTTTGTGTCCACTGCCTCGGGGCCACATGGAGAGGATGCAGTTACAGGGGCCGCCGCCCTGGCAGTGGTGGGCTTCCGGGAGCCGGGTGTGAAGGAAGGCTCATCCAGGGTCAGCTTCGTGACCTTGTGTCGACCGCTGTTCCTCCAGGGCCCCTCCGTTTCCCTGCACCCTCACCAGCCGAGTGTCACAGGCAGAGCTCTCTGTCCTGTTTACCCACGTGGACGAAGCAAACACAAAACCATGCTTTGCTGCCATCCAGTAAATTATGACGCTCCAGTAGCTTTTATTCTGGCAGCCACTGATTATCTTTATTATAAATTACTCTCTTGCACTCACGAGCTGCAGAAGCCTCCGGCTCCCAGTACCAGCACACAAGACACGGAGAGGCCCGCAGCTCGGGAGCTTTGCTGCCTTATGGCTGGTGGGTCCGGAGGTGGCTGGGTCCTGGGCTTGGCTCTTTTCTGCGTTCTTTTTTTTTTTTTTTTGAGACGGAGTCTCGCTCTGTCGCCCAGGCTGGAGTGCAGTGGCCGGATCTCAGCTCACTGTAAGCTCCGCCTCCCGGGTTTACGCCATTCTCCTGCCTCAGCCTCCGGAGTAGCTGGGACTACAGGCGCCCGCCACCTCGCCCGGCTAGTTTTTTGTATTTTTTTTAGTAGAGACGGGGTTTCACCGTGTTAGCCAGGATGGTCTCGATCTCCTGACCTCGCGATCCGCCCGTCTCGGCCTCCCAAAGTGCTAGGATTACAGGCTTGAGCCACCGCGCCCGGCCAACTTTTCTGCGTTCTCAATGCCCTACTCCCGGGGAGCCTCCCCACTGCCCCCAACCCTGGGCGTGCCCCCTGGGTAGTGAGCTGCTGCGTGTGGGGGGTGTCACTCGTATGGGAGGAAAGTCCATCCGTCAGCCTCTTGGCATGACCGCAGGCTGTTGCAGCAGCGTCACCTGGCCCTGGAGGCGACCGACGCGGTGTCAGGAGGCTGGCAGGCGGGTGAACGCGCCTCTCTTCGCCCCCAGGTGTTGGCCGACGGCACCATCCTGGACTGCCTGACCTCCCTGAGGAAGGACAACACGGGCTATGACCTGAAGCAGCTGTTCATCGGGTCGGAGGGCACTTTGGGGGTCATCACTGCGGTGTCCATCCTGTGTCCACCCAAGCCCAGGGCTGTGAACGTGGCTTTCCTCGGTGGGCTTCCTCGATTTGTGCCTTGAGACGGGGAGTTGGGCTCGAGCGTCTGCTCTGACAGTGCTGGTGTGAGGAAGGGGATGGAGGGACCCCCCCAGGACTGTCGGTTCCCGTATCTCCTGACATCTCTGCTTCCAAGGGAATCAAATCCAGGACCTGGCTTTCCTGGTGGTCGTGGGTAAAGGTCTGGAGTGAGGCCTGTCTCTGTCTCTGGTCAGAGGACACTTCATTTCATAGCAAAACTGAGGCTTGTGTTGCCTCCTTCACCCCATTGTGTTAGTTAAGTAGCTTGTGGTGTAAGATTGAGGGACGTGCTGTCATTTGGCATCAGTTCGGGACACCACTCTTAGTTACTGTGGGGATAAAGAATTCCCTCCTGTAATGGGGGTCTTCCCTAGTCAGCCCAGACTGGGGGTCTCAGCAGACCTGCCTGCTGCCGTGTCTCCACAGGCCTGCTTTCCTCACGGCCGCTTCTTTGGTTCTCCCGGGACGTGCCTTTGTCTCCTTTCTTGCTTCGTTTGAATCGGGCGGGTTTATCCAGCATCTCCTCCTCAGGGGCTCAGAAGTCGCACAGCCCAGCAGTCTTCGCGTGAGTGGTGGCGGGTCTAGCTCACCGACTCCCAGTTTAGTGTCTTGAGCTGCCAGAAGATTGGGCAGCCCTGGAGGCTGCTGAGACTCCGCTTGTTCCCTCAGCACTTACATCTTGCCATGTGTGTTCCGTATTTAAACAATCTCACCAGGATAGTTATTTTATGGCCGCTGTCTCTGCCTTCCACTCTCTTGCGTCCGATCTTCCGTTTGGGAGTATGTTGCAAACACATCCTCGTTGGTTTCCTGAGGTAAAGGTCTCCTGGTGACCACTTCCTCCCTTCTGGTGTGTCTGAAAATACCTTTATTTCACCCTCATTCTTGAAGGCTCTTCTCCGCAGGCACACGGCTGCCGGCTGTCGTTTGTTTTCTTTCATCTCGGCTGCCGGCTGTCGTTTGTTTTCTTTCATCTCGGCTGCCGGCTGTCGTTTGTTTTCTTTCATCTCGGTGGAAATGCCGCCCCCTGTCCTCTGGCCTCCTTGCTGTTGGGTACTTCGCTGTCTGTAGGCGCTGCTCTGAGGGGATTCTGCCTCTCTCCCGGCCCCCTGTGGGCCACTTTAAACATCACTCTTTTTGATCTTCTAAAGTTTTCAGTGTGTGGTGTTAGTTCTTTTTCATCTCTTTGGAATTACTGAATTTCTTAAACCTGTGACTTGGCATCTTTTACCAGTTCTAGAAATTCTTAGCCATTATTGCTTCAGATATTGCCTGTGTTTTCCTCTCCTTTTGGGAATGTGATTCAGGATAGAACGTCTCGTCCGTCTTCTGTGTCTCTTAATCTCCCCTCCGTATTGTCATCATCGTGTCTCTCTGTGCTGCATTCTGCATGATTTCTTCTCATCTGTCTTCCAGTTCACGAATGCCCCCTTCTGCTGTGTTTTATATGCTGCTGAACCCCTCCATGGATGGTTCGCTCTGTCCATTGAGTTTTACATTTTGATTATGAAAGTTTTTTATTTCTAGAAGTTTTATTATTTTTTTCAAATCTACAATGTTACTTTTTATAGTTTTTTATTCTGGGTATTCTCAAGCTCACCATTTGTGTCTTTAAACATAGTTTGTCGTCTATAATCCCAGCACTTTGGGAGGCCGAGGTGGGTGGGTCACTTGAGGTCAGGAGTTTGAGACCAGCCTGGCCAACATGATGAAACCCCATTTCTACTAAAAGTACAAAAATTAGGCTGGGCGCAGTGGCTCACACCTATAATCCCAGGACTTTGGGAGGCTGAGGCAGCCAGATCACGAGGTCAGAAGTTCGAGACCAGCCTGATCAACAGGGTGAAACGCTATCTCTATTAAAAATGCAAAAATTAGCAGGGCATGGTGGTGGATGCCTGTAATCCCAGCTATTTGGGAGGCTGAGGCAGGAGAATCGCTTGAAACCGGAAGGCAGAGGTTGCAGTGGGCTGAGATTGCGCCATTGCACTCCAGCCTGGGTGACAGAGTGAGACTCTGTCTCAAAAAAAAAAACAAAAAACTTTGAATAATTTTTTATGATGTTTTATAATCAGGCAATTCCATTTTTTCAAGTCTGTAGTCAGTCTGTAAACGTTTTTTTACAGACAAGGTCTCACTCTGTTGCCCAAGCTGGAGTGCAGTGGTGTGATCATAGCCCCTGGACTCAAGCCATCCTCTTGAGTAGCTGGGATTACAGGTGCACACCACCATGCCTAGGTAATTTTTTAAAAATTGTGTGTAGAAACAGGGTCTCATTATGTTGCCTAGGCTGCTCTTGAACTCCTGGGCTCAAACGATCCTCCCACCGTGGCCTCCTAAAGTGTGGGGGTTATAGGTGTGAGCCTGAGCCACTGCACCAGCCTGTGTGGTCTGTCTTAGCGTCTGTTGTTCCTGCTGGTTCACCCTCCTGGCTCCTTAGTTTCTCTGTGCTTGGCTGGCTGTGGCAGTGTTCAGCTCGTTACGTCTGAAGAATTATTTGTAGGGGTTCCTGCTGGCTGTGGCAGCGTTCAGCTCGTTACGTCTGAAGAATTATTTGTAGGGGTTCCTGCTGGCTGTGGCAGCGTTCAGCTCGTTACGTCTGAAGAATTATTTGCAGGGGTTCCTGCTGGCTGTGGCAGCGTTCAGCTCGTTACGTTTGAAGAATTATTTGTAGGGGTTCCTAGATGCCAAAGACAAAGCACCTTCCTCCAGAGAGGGTTTGTTTCTGCTTTTGCTAGGGGGCTTTGGGTCTGTGCAGCCTGGGAGTGACCAAGTTCATAGGATGAAATTCTGTGAACCTCCCAGGCAGCAAGTCAGTGTAGGGCTGTGTAGGGCTGATCGAGGGTCATGATTTATCAGGAAAGTTTTTTTTTTTTTTTAATATTACTCTTTTGCATATTTTTGAGAGACAAGGTCTCGCTCTGTCACCCAGGCTGCAGTGCAGTGGTGCAGTCGTGGCTCGCTACAGCCTTGACCTCCTGTGCTGAAGGGATCCTCCTGGCTCAGCCTCCCAAGTAGCTGGGACCAGGTGTGTACCACCATGCCTGGCTAATTTTTAAATTGTTTTGTAGAGACAGGGTCTCACCGTGATGCCCAGGCTGGTCTTGAACTCCTGAGCTCAAACAATTCTCCTGCCTTGGCCTCCCAAAATGCTGGGGCCACAGGCATGAGCGCCTGCGCCGAGCTCCATTCTGCATTTTTCTCATTCTGTTCAACCACTTCCCCTGCAGTCTTCAGGGCAAGTTGGTTGGGACAGGCTTGCTTCTGGCCCTGACTCCTAAGATGTGGCCCTGTGGGGGTCTCCTGGACTCCTCACTCTGGGTGGGCTGGGAAGCTTGAGGCCAAACCTGCTGGCGGGGCAAGGGCTATCAGCCAAGAGCGGCACTGGGCTTGGTGCTGCTCAGCCCCCAGGTCAGGCTCTTCCCTTGCCCTTGACGCTCTTCAGCGTGGTTTTTTTTTCTGGGACAGAGTCTCACTCTTGTCGCCCAGGCTGGAGTGCAGTGGCGCAATCTCGGCTCACTGAAACCTCCACCTCCTGGTTCAAGCAGTTCTCCTGCCTCAGCCTCCCAAGTAGCTGGGATGACAGGCGCCCGCCACCACGTCCAGCTAATTTTTGTATTTTCAGTAGAGACAGGGTTTCACCATGTTGGCCAGGCTGGTCTCCAGCTCCTGACCTCAGGTGATCCGCCCGCCTCGGCCTCCCAGAGTGTGGGATTACAGGCCTGAGCCACCGCGCCCGGCCTCTTCAGCATTTTTCTTCGGTATTTTTTGGCCCAGCGTTTGTGGTGTTTTCACTGGGCGCTGGGTCACGTGGCCTAGCCCATCGCTGCTGGGTGGAGGCCCCTTCTCCTGGATCTGCCCTAATCGGGACTTGCCCGCTTCACTGGTGCCCCTCCCACCAAGGCTGCCACTCACTGTCCTCCCACCACCAACCCAGCCATCAGTTCTCATTGCCCCTCTCGCCCATTGCCTCTGGCACGAGCCTGGCCTGTGATGCTGCCCCCACGCCCCCTTCTTGCCCACCCTCCACCTTCAGCCCCTGGTGGGGCTCCTCACCCCGACCCCGGAACGGCTGGGGCAGCCCTGACTGCTTCTGCCGGACTCTCTCTGGGTGGCAGTGCTGTCTGGATCAGCGGGTCCTCTTCATCCACGTTTTCTGTTTTCTGCTCTCTGCTCTGATCCCACTCCAACTGCAGTCACTTGTGTGCCGCCTGCCTGTGGTCCTGGGAGCCCGAGGCCAACCCAGCTGCCGCATCTGCTCTTCCTGCCTCCAGGTCTCACAGAGGAGTCACTCGCCTCTTTGTGCCGCACCCACATCTAAACCGTGTAGAACAGGCCCCTGTGAGGATGGCCCTGGGGTCCCGCGTGCTCGTGGGCTCAGTCCGGCTCTCCAGGGCCCCGGTCAGCCCTGGCTCCTGCCCTCCTGCAGCTGGGGCGACTTCCCACATGGCACTCTTGTTCCACTTCCTGGGGCTTCCCACCCACTCTGAGCAAGATGCCAAGTCCCCACAGCCAGACCCTCCAACACCACCGACACCTCCCACAGCCGGCCCTCTGTGCGTCTGCAGCCACACCCCATCATGGCGCTTGGGTCACAGGCCTCGAGGTGTTCCTGTGTCACCCAGTGCAGGTGTCTGCCTCCAGCCTCTGCACTTGTGAGACCTTCTCTCTGGAAAATTCTTCTCTGATATCCACGTGCCTTCACATTGCTTCCCCATCTCTCCCTGAAAGATGGGCAGGGCCCCCCTCCTGCTGCAGCATCTCTGGGGCTGTCCACCTGTGGACACCCACTCAGTTCCTTTCCATCTTTATCCTTGAGGGTCGGCTTCCCCAGGGCAGGGGCCTTGCTGGTAGCCCCCCAACTCTGGAGCACCACAGGGGGCTCAGCGTGTCCGGTAAACGCCTGCTGGATGAGGTCCTGAGTGCAGGGAAGACCTGAGTGCTGACTGTGTTAAGAGAAATGCAGCCATTCCCAAAGGCTGCCTGTTGCTGGCCCTGTGTTTGCAGAGTTCCCAAGATATACCCCCTCTGAGTCCCACTGCTGCTGTCTCAGGTGCTGTGTGGTTCTTCGGCGCCTTCCCCTCCGGATGCTGGTGGTGACACCAGGCGTGTACCTGCCGGGCGAACCCTGGGCTGTTTCTTGCAGTGCCAGCCCTTGCACTCCTCGCGGCTGCCCAGCTCACCCCACATGAGTCGGGCTGATGTTGCTGCTTTGAAGGGGGACTTGGGTGGTCTGGGCTTGGCTCTGTGCGGTGCTTGACGTGCTGTGACCCGTTTCAGGCTGTCCAGGCTTTGCTGAGGTTCTGCAGACCTTCAGCACCTGCAAGGGGATGCTGGGCGAGATCCTGTCTGCATTCGAGTTCATGGATGCTGTGTGCATGCAACTGGTCGGGCGTTATCTCCACCTGGCCAGCCCGGTACAAGGTACTGACCCCCATGCAGGGCAGCTGGTCCTGCAGCTCCTTCTGCACCTCTGGACACATGGGACGGCTCAGAGGCCCTGGGGGGGTGGAGGGTCCCCGGGCGGAGCGTGGAGTGGCTGTTGGGCTCATGTGTAAGAAAGCTGCTCTTAAAATATTTAGGATTTAGGACAAAGAATAGGGTGCCCTGGTCCTGTGTAAGGTTTGTAGTTACACAGATTTCCTGATCATCTGCAAGAAGGACAGGAAGGAACTAAGTGGCTATTTTTGGTGAGTGGGGAGACTTTCTTTCCATTTCTGCTTTTCTTTGTTTTCCCACGTTGCTTTCTGTAAGTATGTTTTACTTTTGTGCTGGGAAAAAAGCCAGTAATTTTGTCTGTGGAGGGATGGAGTTTCTCACTGTGGCCCAGGCTGGAGGGCAGTGTCACGGTCTCGGCTCACTGCAGCCTCCACCTCCTGGGTGGAGTTTCTCACTGTGGCCCAGGCTGGAGGGCAACGTCATGGTCTTGGCTCACTGCAGCCTCCACCTCCTGGGTTCAAACGTTTCTCCTGCCTTAGCCTCCTGAGTAGCTGGGATTACAGGCACCTGCCACCACACTTGGCTAATTTAGACGGGGTTTTGCCATGTTGACCAGGCTGGTCTCGAACTCGTGATCTCAGGTGATCCACCCACCTCAGCCTCCCAAAGTGCTGGGATTACAGGTGTGAACCACCGTGCCTGGCCAAAGACAACTTTTTAAACCTCCTGAAAGTCAGCTCAAGCGGACAGCTGTGTGCTCCGCAGGCTGCCTGGGTCCTTCTTGGCCTCGAAAGATCAGTGGTTGCTATCACAGCCATTCCGCCCAAGCAGCCCTGATTTTTGCCCTGGAAGCCGGAGCCTCTGCTCACTCTGCCTTCCTTGCTTACTTCTAGAGAGTCCGTTTTACGTCCTCATCGAGACTTCAGGCTCCAACGCAGGCCATGATGCTGAGAAGCTGGGCAGCTTCCTGGAGCACGCACTGGGCTCTGGCCTGGTGACCGACGGGACCATGGCCACCGACCAGACGAAAGTCAAGGTGCCCCATGTTCTGCTCGCAGGTCCCCTCTCTGTCCGTCAAGTCCAGCCTTGTCTCGGGATGCCTGGAAGGGTCATTGGTGCAGCCTAAACAGTGTGGGGTATGGCTGAAATGTGACTCGGTTTCATGGCTTTAAGAGAGTAGCCTCTTTGGATGGAAAATGTATTCCTGGTGTCTAGGCCATTTTCATTAATATTTAAAAACTACTTCTTCCCTACCGTGTCCCTCGCCAGCCCCATGCTGTGGGATGAGCATGGGGACTGCGCCATTGCCAGTCCCCCGCAGCCTGTGGTTCAGCGGCCAGTCAGCGGCAGCTCTACCTAGAGTTGTGTGGAATGAGTGGAGGCAGGAGGAACCCCTGGGGCTGTGGAGGCTTAGCCCGGACCCCGGGAGTCCTAGGGTGGGCAGTTTTCTGGAGGAAGGGGCCTTGACTGTGTTACCAGATTATTTGTGCTTTTGGACACCAAAGGAAGGAGGGGCAAGGCCTGGGGCACTGAGAGCCCTTGGTCACCGTCACTGTGGCCTGGGCAGTGGGAGCAGCCCTTGGTCACCATCACCGGGGCCTGGGCTGTGGGAGCCGTCGGTCATTGTCACTGGGGCCTGGGGTAGTGGGAGCCCTGGGTCACCGTCACCAGGGCCTGGGCAGGGGAGGAGCCCTCGGTCTCCACTACTGGGGCCTGGGCAGTGGGAGCCCTTGGTCACTGTCACCGGGGCTTGGATAATGGTAGCCCTCGGTCACCGTTACCAGGGCCTGGGTGGGAGGAGCCCTCAGTTACCTTCACTGGGGCCTGGGCAGTGGGAGGCGCCCTCGGTGACCATCACCAGGGTCTGGGCAGTGGGCACCCTCGGTCACCGTCACCAGGGTCTGGGCAGTGGGAGGTGCTCTCGGTCACCGTCACCAGGGTCTGGGCAGTGGGAGGTGCCCTTGGTCACCATCACCAGGGTCTGGGCAGTGGGAGGTGCCCTCGGTCACCATCACCAGGGTCTGGGCAGTGGGAGGTGCCCTCGGTCACCATCACCAGGGTCTGGGCAGTGGGCACCCTCGGTCACCGTCACCAGGGTCTGGGCAGTAGGAGGTGCCCTCCTGGCTGCTTTGCCGGGGTGGCAGTCATGCAGCGCCCCCACCATCCCCAGGAGGGCTACCCTGACACCCTGGCCTCCACACATCAGCCCCCACGACCCCCACAAAGGAGGGCTGCCCTCGACACCTCCAACCTCCCTACCAGCTCCCATGCCACCCCCAGGGCAGGCTGCCCCCCACGCCCCCAGCCTCTGCACATCATCCCCCACACCACCCCCAGGCGGGCTGTCCCCGACGCCCCCAGCCCCTCCACAGCCTGGTCCAGTCCTAGACTTGTGCCTTGAACATTAATGCCCAGAGCCGGGTTCATGACCAGGACAGGGCCGGGCGGGGCTGGTCCTGTGTTCACAAAGTCACCTCCAGAAGCTTCCTGGGACAGGTTTGGGAGAGACTTTGCGTGTCTGTCAGTACCTCATTCCGGCTCATGCTCCACAGGTGGGTAATCTGGCCTTTGTGTTTTGCAGAGAGCAAAACCACCCTTTCTTAGGTGTGCGGCTTGGCAGGTTGACCCGGACACGCGCTTGTGCGCAGCTGCCCTGAGGCTTTTCTCTGCTGTTGTCCGGCGTTGGCGAGGCTGTGGGCAGGTCCTGAGCCATTCTTCTCTGCTTTCCACTTTGTTGTCTTTCCTTCTGGGAGCCCTGGGTTTTTGGACATGTTGAGAAAATGGGGCTTACGCAGGTCCAGCCGCTGCTGCAGGGGTCCTGTGTTTAACGGGGGACTCTCAGCCCTGCCCAGGCCCCGCTGTAGCCTCAGCCCACCTGAGTGGAAGCCACACTGGTCATGCCAGACGCCCCGGGCTCTTCTGAGTAGTGACCACGGCGGGTCTCATTGGCAATGCCTGTCCACCCGTCACGTGTCACTCAGCAAACCTGTTAGGGAGATGCCTCCTGTGCCGTGTTCCTGCTGGGTGACAGCAGTGACCAGGGCGGGAGAAGCCTTGACCCCTGAAACTCACACAGCAGAAGGAACAAGCTCAGCCCATGGCCCCTCAGAGCCAGGAAGCGCCGGGGAGGAGGGCCGGGCCAGGCAGGGTCATGGGGTGTGCCTGGGAGTGCCAGGAGGGCTGGAAAGATGACCCTGAGGGGTCATTTCGGCAAAGACTTGGTGTGGGGAGCAGAAAGTCTGGAGCAGGAGCACCAAGGCCCTGAGAGGGCGTGTGCCTGCCATGTTCTAGAACCTTCCAGAGATGGTGGGCATGGAGCCAAGTGACTGAGGCCTGAGCAGGCAAGGGGAGACCCCATCTTGTGGCCACAGGGACACACGGGGCGGCTGGTCTGATGAGGTGAGAAGGCCCGGCAGGCAGCAAGGTGCCCAGCAAGCCGGCCTTGCAGCCGTGCCCGTGCCGCTGTGACGAAGGGTCCGTAGAAGGTGTGGTGGTTGCTCAGGGCATGTCGTGACCCAAGGTGCTGATCTCACCAAACTAGCTCTAAAAAGTTATGAGAGGGACCGGCTGGTGGCTCATGCCTGTAATCCCAGAGCTTTGGGAGGCCAAGGCCAGCTCGGTCGGGAGACCTGAACCCCGTGGCGTTAGAGGAGTTAAAGACACACACTCAGAAACGTAGAGGTGTGAAGTGGGGAATCCGGTCTCACATCCTTCAGAGCTGACAGAGATTTACCCACATATTTATTAACAGCAAACCAGTCCTTAGCATTGTTTCTATAGATATTAAATTCATTAAAAGTATCCCTTAAGGGAAACGAAGGGATGGGCCGAATTAATTGCAGCAGGAACACGCCCTTAAGACACAGATCGCTCAGGCTTTTGTTTGTGGCTTAAGAATGCCTTCAAGTGGTTTTGTTCTTGCCCTCATTCCCGTAAACCCACAACCTTCCAGCTTAGGCCTTATGGCCTTTATGGACGTGTTACATTGCTGCAGAGATTTTGTTTATGGCCAGTTTTTGGGGGGCTTGCTCCCAACAGAGGCAGGAGGATCGCTTGAGCCCAGGAGTTTGACACCAGCCTGGGCAACATGGTGAGACTTCAAAACAATAAAAAATTGGTGGTGGGGAAATGGGGGAATTTTGGACACTGGCTAGATTCCCAGTGGTGGTGAGGAGTTGTTATTTTTTTAAGTGTGAGTGTGGCTTTGTGGTTATGTCAAAAAAACAGAGTCTTTTTTCTTTTTTTGAGACAGAGTCTCACTCTCACCCAGGCTGGAGTGCAGTGACACAGTTGCAGCTCACTGCAGCCTCGACCTCCTGGGCTCAAGCGATCCTCCCGCCTGAGCCTCCTGAGTAGCTGATTCTACAGGTGCCCGCCACCAAACCAGCTGATTTTTATTTATTTGCTTTTTATTTTTATTTATTTTTTTTAAGACAGAGTCTCGCTCTGTCGCCCAGGCTAGAGTGCAGTGGCGCAATCTCGGCTCACTGCAAGCTCCGCCTCCCAGGTTCATGACATTCTCCCGCCAAAGCCTCTGGAGTAGCTGGGACTACAGACGCCCGCCACCACGCCTGGCTAATTTTTTGTAATTTTAGTAGAGATGGGGTTTCACCGTGTTAACCAGGATGGTCTCGATATCCTGACCTCGTGATCTGCCCGCCTCGGCCTCCCAAAGTGCTGGGATTACAGGCGTGAGCCACCAGGCCTGGCCGATTTTTATTGTTTTTAAGAGACGGGGTCTCCCTGTGTGGCTCAGGCTGGTCTCAAACTCCTGGGCTCAAGTCATCCTTCTGCCTCAGCCTCCCAAAGCTCTGGGATTACAGGTGTGAGCCACTGCGCCCAGCCAAGTCTTTCTCTTAGAATTTCCTGAAATGATGGGGTCTCTGGAGGGGCAGGTGCTGGGCTTGAGCCCTGGGTGGGACCCTGCAGGGGAGAGGTGGTCCTGCAGCCCAGGGAGGATGGCCTGTCTTCTTGTGGTGCAGATCTCCACAATGAAAGCTGGAAGCAAGTGAAAGCCCAGCAAACCACAGGCCAGTTGATCTGAGCCCCAGGATTTGGCCCCAGGTTCCGCTTCAGCCGCCAGCACTGTCTGTTCCTCTTCAGAATCCTTCCTCCCTCTTGGCCTGACCGCCGTGTCCCTCCTCCCCCATGACCCGCCCACCATGTCCTTCCCTCCCCCACGATCTGCCCTTCGTGTCCCTCCTCCCCCACGACCCGCCCACCATGTCCTTCCCTCCCCACGACCCGCCCACCATGTCCTTCCCTCCCCATGGCCCGCCCGCCGTGTCCCTCCCTCCTGCCCCACATGCCCCTTGAGCTGCCTGGGCCCTGCTGTCTTCCCGTCTGCCTGGATGGCTCTTTGTGCCCCCTTCCCTACCCTGCCCTTCTCTGGTTCAGGGAGTGTCCAGGGCCCATCCTTGTCCTCAGGGCCTTCCCTGGCCCTTGCCACTCTGTGCCGTGACCTGACCTGAGGCTGCAGGGTGTGCGCCTCCCCCTTCCATCATCACTGCCCGCCTGATTGCCGGAGTCCCAGGGTACTCGGTGCTGTCGTGGAGCCTGGAACATTCACCGTCCCGGATCGATTCCGGGATCAGAGCCACACCTGGTCTGGGGCATTCGCCATCCAGGGTCGGAGCCACACCTGGTCTGGGGCATTTGCTGTCCGGGGTCAGAGCCACACCTGGTCTGGGGCATTTGCTGTCCGGGGTCGGAGCCACACCTGGTCTGGGGCATTCACTGTCCTGGGTCGATTCCAGGGTTGGAGCCACACCTGGTGAAGATACAGAACTTGCCACTGCCCTAACCCTGTGTGGTGTGCCCCCCGTCCCCGGGTGCTGTTCCCATAGCCAGCCCTTGTCTCATCTTGTCTCATCCTCTAGATGCTGTGGGCCCTGAGGGAAAGGATCGCAGAGGCGCTGAGCCGAGACGGCTACGTGTACAAGTACGACCTCTCCCTCCCCGTGGAGCGACTCTACGACATCGTGACTGATGTGCGTGCCCGCCTTGGCCCACATGCCAAGCACGTGGTGGGCTACGGCCACCTGGGTGAGCGGCGCCCTGGGGCCACGGTCCTACGTGTGCTGGGTGGTGGGCGCCATGGTCACCGTCGCCCCGCCAGGCTGCAAGGCAGGGAAGATTGACCATGGTCTCTGGCTTAGCATATCTCCGGTAGACACTGGCAGGACCACGGTGTCTAACAGGGAAGGGAAAATCCTAATCATTGTCACACTCATTTTGAGTATTTTGGAAAAGACTGCCATTGTGCACTTTTGATGGCAGAACGCATGGCTGAGCTTGCCAGAACATTACGGGATCTTCACTGGGATGCACGGTTGTAGGGCATCAGCCTTAACCTGAGTCCAGGACGCGGGTTTCAGGGGACTCCTCTCACAGGGCCCGGCCCCAAGGCCTTTGCTGTGCTTGATTCGCAGCCCCCAGCTGCTGCCACCCCTTCAGATGGGAGGATTTCAAAACCACATTCAGATCATCTTTTTTTTTTTTTTGCAGAAAAATCATGCTTTAACATGCAAGCTATTGGCCGGGCGCGGTGGCTCAAGCCTGTAATCCCAGCACTTTGGGAGGCCGAGACGGGCGGATCACGAGGTCAGGAGATCGAGACCATCCTGGCTAACCCGGTGAAACCCCGTCTCTACTAAAAAATACAAAAAACTAGCCGGGCGAGGTGGCAGGCGCCTGTAGTCCCAGCTACTCGGGAGGCTGAGGCAGGAGAATGGCGTAAACCCGGGAGGCGGAGCTTGCAGTGAGCTGAGATCTGGCCACAGCACTCCAGCCCGGGCGACAGAGTAAGACTCCGTCTCAAAAAAAAAAAAAAAAAAAAAAACATGCAAGCTGTTAATTCATAGGAAGAAAATGTTTCAATCCTATCAGTTCTTTTTTTTTTTTTTGAGATAGAGTTTCGCTCTTGTCACCCTGACTGGAGTGCAGTGGTGCAATCTTGGCTCACTGCAACTTCCACCTCCCGGGTTCAAGCAGTTCTCCTGCCCCAGCCTCCCAAGTAGCTGGGACTACAGGCGTCTACCACCAGGCCTTGGCTAATTGTTGTATTTTTAGTAGAGACAGGGTTTTGCCATATTGGCCAGGCTGGTCTCAAACTCCTGACCTCCGGTGATCTACCCTCCTCAGCCTCCCAAAGTGCTGGGATTACAGGAGTGAGCAAGCATGCCCGGCCATTTTCCTGTCAGTTCTTGGGAGCCTTGGAGCGAGGCGTCTAAAAGGCCAGCTTATAGGGCAGGGGTGGGGGTGGGGTGGGGGCAGGGCTGGGGGTGTGGAGCGTGTGGGGGCAGGGCTGGGGGTGTGGAGCGTGAGGGGGCAGGGTGGGGGTGTGGAGCGTGTGGGGGCAGGGCTGGGGGTGTGGAGCGTGTGGGGGCAGGGTGGGGGTGTGGAGTGTGGCTTTGGGGGCTGACAGGTGCTCAGTCTGGCTTCTTCCCTGGCCTGGTGGCACTGGGGCCTCTGACCTGAAGCCTCCATCCACCTGCCAGTAAATGGGATTCAGATGCCACCTCTGTGGTTACAGGAGGGTCTAGGGTTTTGTGCGTGACGATAGTAATATGTATTATGTATGAAGGGCCTGTGCCGTCCCAGGCATCATTCTGAGCACTTGATGTGGAGAAACTTCTCTGCACAGCAGCTTTTAGGACTGGTGGTGTTGCTTCCCTTTTACACACGTGTGAACAGGTTCAGAGAATTTAAGTAACGTACCCAAAGTTGCCCCGCCTGCGGGACGGGTACGTCTGGAGGACTTGTCATAGACTGGATGGTAATCTTCTGTGATAGGAAGGCAGGACTCCTGAATGGTAAGGGGGTAAGGGCTTGATGGGTGTGTCATCCAGAGAAGAGAGGTACGGGAGCCCCAGTAATTCAAAATATAACTTCGAGCCAGGAGGTTTCCTGCTCTGCAGGTAACTTCAGCCTCTCTTGGCCACAGATAAAGCAGATCACCTTGGTCAGAAATTGAATGAGCCCCCTGTTACTTTGTGAATGCAAGAATGGGCCGGGCGCAGTGGCTCACGCCTGTAATCCCAGCACTTTGGGAGGCTGAGCCGGGTGGATCACCTGAGGTCAGGAGTTCGAGACCAGCCTGGCCAACATGGTGAAACCCCGCCTCTACTAAAAATAGAAAAAATTAACTGGGTGTGGTGGCAGGCACCTGTAATCCCAGCTGCTTGGGAGACTGAGGCAAGAGAATCGCTTGAACCCAGGAGGCAGAGGTTGCAGTGAGCCGAGATCGTGCCACTGCCCTCCAGCCTGGGTAACAGAGCGAGACTCCATCTCAAAAAAAAAAAAAAAAGTCCAGGCACAGTGGCTTACGCCTGATTCTCTTCTGATACTGTTTATCTTTTTGATTACTTCCACTATCTTTTCTTTTATTTATTCAACATATTAAATGTAGTTTAGGCCAGGCGTGGCAGCTTATGCCTGTAATCCCAGCACTTTAGGAGGCTGAGGCTGGTGGATCACCTAAGGTCAGGAGTTTGAGGCCAGCCTGGCCAACATGGTGAAACTCCATCTCTACTAAAAATAGCTGGGCATGGTGGTGGGCACCTGTAATCCCAGCTACTCGGGAGGCTGAGGCAGGAGAATCACTTGAACCCAGGAGGCGGAGGTTGCAGTGAGCAGAGATCGCACCACTGCACTCCAGCCTGGGCAACAAGAGTGAAACTCCATCTCAGAAAAAAAAAAAAAAGCAAGAATGAATGTTGAATTTTTTAAATGCTTTTCCTGCATCTACCATGGTGACAGGTGCTTGTCTGCTGATCCCTCTGGAGGCAGATGAGTCTGTGTTTCTGGGGTAGGCCCAAGGTGGCCGTCATCCTTTTTGTATCGTGCTAGATGAGTTTATGTTTGGTGTGGGATTTTGACAGGGGTCTTGGTGGGTGATTCTGTTCCACACTGTTCCTTTCTTCTGTCCATGCTGGATTTTGGTATCAAAATCATAACATGAATATTATGCAGAACTTGCCAGTGGAGCTGTTTGGGCCTGGAGGTTTTTTTGGGGGGAGTATTTTAAAATTATAGCTCAATTTCTTCAATAGCTATGGGACTTTCTAGTTTTCCTTTCTTCTAGATTGGTTTTTCTGGGTTTTTTTTTTCCATATTGGCATAAAGTTGTTCAAATATTCTTTTGTTTTCTTTGTATCTAGCATTTGTGGGATGCTCCCCACACCCTTTTTTTTTTTTTTGAGGGGACAGGGTCTCGCTGTCACCCAGGCTGGAGTGCAGTGCCTTACCACAGACTCGACCTTCTGGGATCAAGCAGGCCCGCCACCTCACACACGCCAGCAGCCCTGGCTAACTAAAAAAAAATTTTTTTGTAGGCCCGGTTTGCTGACTCACACCTGTAATCTCAATACTCCGGTAAGCCAAGGTGGGAGGATCACTGGAGTCCAGTAGTTCTAGATCAGCCTGGGCAACACAGTGAGATCTGATCTACACTACACACATTTGTAGATCCAGAGTCATGTAGAGCCAGTTGTGTGGCCAGGCTGGTCTTGAACTCCGGGCCTCAAGCAAGGCTGCCTCCTTGGCCTCTCAAAGCCAAAGATTACAGGCGTGAGGTACTGTGCCTGGCATCATTCGCTGCTTGCATTAGCATTTCTTCTTTGACCCACGAGTTATGCAGAAGTGTATTTCTTAATTTCCAAACGTGGTAGTTTTCTAGTTATTTTTAAAATTATTGATTTCTTTTTTACTGCATTATACCCAGGAAACTTGGCCCTTATCAGATCAGATTTTGGAAACTGGATCCGTGGCCAGCTTGTGATCAGCTTTCGTAACCGTGGAGTGCTTGAAAACACTGTGCTCTCTGCAGTTGGTGGAATCAGTGTTTGTACAGATCCATCAGATAAAACGTGTACGTCGTGTGCTCATTCTGCATCCTGCTGACCTGCCACTCCCTGAGGGAGGTGTTAGAATCCGCTGACAACAGACTCATCCGTTCCTCCTGTAGCTTTGCCAGTTCTGGAGTCGTGGTCTTAGGGGCACAGGACATGAGGTTCGTCTCTTCGTTCTGGGAAACTGAATCTCTTACCGCGCTGAACTCACGCTTTGTCTCCAGCATTGCGCGTTGCCTTGGTGTCTGCTTTATTACACAGTGGTGCTAACTTTCTTTTATTTAGTGTTTGCCTCACGTGTTGTTTTTCCTCCTGTTACTTTCAGCCTTTCTATCCGTAATGATTTAGACGTGTTTCTTGTGGACGCCCCCGGACAGGTTTTTCGCGTACTTGTTTGCCGTCTCGAATGAGAGCGTTTGGCTGCTGAGCAGGTCCTGCGGCGCGTTGTTTGGGTTTGTTTACTTCACCCTGCTCTTGGTCTCTCACTTCTTGTCTGTTTTTTTCCTCTGGTTTTTGCTCTTCTTGTGGTTTATGTTCTTTGTCATTTAGCTTTTTGCCATTTACTAACTGTTGATGGTCGCCCTAGCAGCATAGCGGGCATTTCTAGCCCTCTGGGTTTGAGGTTAATCAGAGTCACTACCTTCCTCCCAAACAATGTGTGATGGTGAATTCTCTGTGTCCGCTTGGCTGGGCCCTGGTACCCTCGTTTGGTCCAACTCCAGTCTGGATGTTTCCGTGAAGGTACTTTTTATGTGTGATTAACATTTAAATCAGTAGATGCTGGGTACAGGAGATCTCCCACCACAGTGTGAGTGGGCCTTACCCAGTCAGTTGAAGGCCACAAGCGCAAAGGAAGAGGGGATTCTGACCCAGATGGAGACTCGAGCTGCAGCACCAGCTCCGGCTGGGATCTCCAGCCTACTGACCTGGACTTCAGATTTTAGACTTAGCTCCCTCAGTCCCATGAGTCAGTTCATTAAAATCAGTGTCTGTCATCTACCTGTGTCTCTGCGTCGCTCCGTCTTTCTCTGTATCTTCCTCTAAATATGTGTAATCTCACTCTCTTGCTCGCTCTCTCTGTACACACACATCCTGCTGGTTCTGCCTCTCTAGGGGCCCTGATGGCTGCGCAGCGTGAGGACTTTAGGGCCCCGTCACTTTGGCTGTCGTTTTCCCCCCGGTCTATGGTTAGCCCCTGTATTTGCGGGCTTCACATCAGATTCAACCATAAAAATAACAATACAACAGTAAAAAAAAATGCAACAATAAAAAATAAAGATGATGCAGTGTAACAGTGACAGACACAGCATTTCCATCGTACCAGGCAACGTAAGTAATCTAGAGGTGATTTAAAGTATACAGGAGGGGCCGGGCACGGTGGCTTACGTTTGTAATCCCAGCAGTATGGGAGGCCAAAGTGGGTGGATCACCGGAAGTCAAGAGTTCGAGACCAGCCTGGCCAACATGATGAAACCACATCTCTACTAAAAATACAAAAATTAGCCAGGTTTGGTGGCACGTGTCTGTAATCCCAGCTGCTTGGGAAGCTGAGGCAGGACAATCGCTTGAACCTGGGAGGCAGAGGTCGCAGTGAGCCGAGGTTGTGCCACTGCACTCCAGCCTGGGCAAAAGAGCAAAACTCCGTCTCAAGCAAAAAAAAGGATACAGGAGGATGTGTGTAGTTTATATGCAAATCCCACGCCATTTCCTGTCAGAGACTTGAGCATCTGAGGATTTTGATATCCGAGGGGTCCTGTATCCAGGCCCCCAGGGACACTGAGGGGCACCTGCCTGCTGTTTGGGGGTGTATTCTGGTCCTGCCTTGTTCAGCCACGCATCACCCTGTCACCATGTTACTGTCCTGATTCTGCGTAGCCAGTCTGCACACAGCCTCTGCTTGAATCTCAGCCTCCAGAATTTTCCCTGGCATGGAAAAATAGGTGACGGAACAGCACAGGTTTATTTGTCTGGAAATGATTTAGTTGATAAAAATGTCTTTTCCTCAGTGGATTTCAATGGTTCTGGGTTGACAGTCGCTTCCCAGTGGCAGAGGGGAGCTTCTGTCCTCTCTTCGATGTCTGCTGTTGCCGAGACAGCCTCAGTGCAGGGCAGTTCCCTTCGGGGGAATGGAGGGGATCCGCTTTTTCTTTCTTTCTTTCTTTGTTTTTGAGATGGAGTCCCGCTGTCACCCAGGCTGGAGTGCAGTGGTGCGACTTCGGCTCACTGCAACCTCCGCCTCCCGGGTTCAGGTGATTCTCCTGCCTCAGCCTCCTGAGCAGCTGGGATTAAGGTGCCCACCACCACGCCCGGCTAATTTTTGTATTTTTAGTAGAGATGGGGTTTCGCCATATTGGCCAGGCTGGTCTCCAACTCCTGACCTCGTGATCCACCCGTCTCGGTCTCCCAAAGTGCTGGGATTGCAGGCGTGAGCCGCCGCGCCCGGCCAGCTTTTTCCTTCTTGCTGCTTTCAGCTCCTTCCGTCCGCCGCCTTTGGGGTTCTGCAGTTTCACTCTGGTTGGGCCGGGTGAGTGTTTTTTACCTGCCTGGCACTTGTGGGGCTTTGGGGTCTTGCTGGCTTTAGAAATTCCTCAGCCACCAGAGCCTCTTCAAACACCGTTTCTCCCCTCCCTCTCTTCTCTTCCTGGAACTCAGTCCAAGCCCCCTTGTTTCTTGTGTGCCGCTGCCGTGGTCCCGCCTCTCGCATTTGGATGCTATTTGCAGTGTCTCGGGCTTGGCGTCCTCTGCTGTGTGTGATCGGCCGTCAGACCTGTCTGTTCAGGTCCACAGGCCAGCCGTGATGCGTTTCACCTCCAGAAGATTGGCGTGGATATTTAAAAACTGCTTGGTCAGATTTTGTGGTTGTATATTTTTGTCCCTTATTTCTTTACACATGACACCTTTGTGTTCTGTGTCTGGAGATGACGGCGTCTGAGGTGTTTGTGGGTCTGATTCTGACCTTGCCTGTGGCGGTTTGTCTTCTTGTGTGCGTGTTGTTGGCACGAGCTCATGTTCGTTAGGTCTTTATCTGCAGGAATTATTTGAGGCCTGCAGGGGAGGTGGTTTGCTTCTGCAGTGGGTGGAGAGGGTGAGGGCCTGGGGCCCCCCCGGAACCTCTTTAATCGGCACGTTCTCAGCTGGGTTTGGGACCCGAGGCAGCGTGCGTTTCGGCTGCAGACCCGGGTACAGGCTGGCCGTTGGTCGGGAATACAGTTGGGTGTTGCTTCATGACGGGCATGCGTCCTGAGAAATGTGTCATTAGGTGGTTTCGTTTTGCACTAGCATCACGGAGGGCACTCACACCCAGATGGGACAGCCTCTTCCACACCAAGGCTGTGTGGTGTTGCCATTACCCCAGGTGACAAACCACAGCCGTCATCCACGTAATGCCGGAAGCAGTTGTGAAACGGTGCTATGTGCCTGAACACAAAAGCTAATCCTAGAAAAGGGACCATAAAAATACGGTATAAAAGGTAAGAATGCCACACCCGTGTAGGGTGCCCATCACGAGTGGGTCTCGCGGGACTGGAGGTTGCTCTGGCGAAGCCGTGGGTGAGGGGTGAGGGATTGCAAAGGCCTAGGAAATGACCGGACCCTACTCTAGACTTTATAAACACTGCACACTGAGGCTACCCTAAACGGATATTAACAAGTAATTGGCCAGGCGCGGTGGCTCATGCATGTAATCCCAGCACTTTGGGAGACTGAGGCAGGCGGATCACCTGAGGTCAGGAGTTTGAGACCAGCCTCAACATGGAGAAACCCCATCTCTACTAAAAATACAAAATGAGCCGGGCATGGTGGCCGGTGCCTGTAATCCCAGCTGCTCCCAGGAGGCTGAGGCAGGAGAATTGCTTGGACCTGGGAGACAGAGGTTTCAGTGAACCGAGATTGCACCATTGCACTCCAGCCTGGGCAACAAGAGCGAAACTCCGTCTAAAAAAAAAAACAAAACAAAAAAAACAAGTAATTGTGCTACAACATGGTGACATAATTAAGGTGATGGCAATTTTTCAGCTCCATTTTAATGTTATGGGACCAACATCATCTCTGTGGTCCGGTGTTGGGTGAAACATTGTTATGAAGCGTGACTGTATTCACATACTCTGGACGCCAGGCACGTGGCTCATACCTGTAATCTCAGCACTTTGGGAAGCTGAGGTGGGAGGACTGCTTGAGGTCAGGAGTTCAGGACCAGCCTGGGCAACATGGTGAGACACCCCACCATCTCTGCAAAAAAAACAATTAGCCAGGCATGGTGGTACATGCCTGCAGTCCCAGCTACTCAGGAGGCAGAGGTAGGAGGACTGCTTGAGCACAGGAGGTTGAAGCAGTGAGCTAGGATCGCTCTACTGCACTCCGGCCTGGGTGACAGAGGGAGACCCTGTCTCAAAAAAACAAAGCGAAACGAACATTTTCTGTGGATGTGGTTTTTCTCTTTCACAACCAGTCCTCCCTGGGCAAGTCCCTCCCTCTCTGGCCTGAGCAGGCGTCTGTGGGGACTGGGAGGGGTGGGGACTGTGGGCGGGGTCCCTGCTGTACTCCCTGCCTCGGGTTTGTTCTCGCAGGGGTGGAGAAATCTTTTTTTATCTACCCTTTCTAGTTCCCAGCTGGGATGGACCCTGCAGCTACAGGCAGATTCATAGGACAAATATGGAGGCTCATCGACATGCGTTTCACGTCTGCTTGGGATTGGCCAGGGAATGAGGGATTCTCAAAGAGCTGGCTGTGAATTCAGGCCCATGTGGCGTCCTCAACAAACAGTCAAGTTTTAGGGACGTCACATGACAGGACATGGACTGCGAGTCTCCGGGAGGCATCTTGGAGGAGGCAGGGAGGTGGCAGAGGACGGCTGGGCCTGAGGCTGCCTTTACCTTTGTCGGTTCTGGTGGAGGGACGGTCTTTGCCCTTGTCATTCCTGGGCTGCTCTTAGGCAGGACCTGAGTCGGGGGAGCTTTTGTTGGATCTGCCGCTTCTCGGTTGCCTTTGTGGGAAAACAGCCCTCACCCCAGCATGGCACAGTTGGGGGTGGCGCGTCCCGGTTTACCTCTGGGGCTCCTCCTCAGTGTGCAGCTCTGCGTTAAATGCCACTGGTCTCGTCTGGGCAGCCCTCGAGCTGGTTTCTGGCTCCCTCTCCTGCTGGCCCGGAGGTGGGGCGGGATCCTCACTTGGCTCTGACCTTGGCTCTCCCCAGCCTCTTCTCTGAGCCATCCCCTTGTTGACCTCTGAGGTCAGAAGAGGAGGTTGTGCGTGGGGTGGGCCAGGACCAGGGTGTGCTTGGAGAGCCACCACCCTGGGGGCTCAGTGTGGGGTGAGTGGACCAGAGAGGAGGCGGCTGGGAGCCAGGGCTTTGTCTGCAGCGGGCACTGGCTAGGCAGCTCCAGGGAAGATGTCCGTGGGGTGGGGGCATCCAGATAGCCCTGGGCGCCACTGCGGACCCCTCCATCTGACCGGGTGCTGGGGGTACAGACTGGGAGACTGTCTGGGCTCTTCCAGGTCAGGAGGGAGGCAGTGGCAGGCAGGCCATGCAGTTGCTTATGTGGTCACTCTCCGCCTGGGGAGATGGGAGCCCTGGGCAGAAGGAGTAGGAAGAGGGGGGAGAACTTGGGGAGATGGGAGCCCTGGGCAGAGGGGAGTAGGAAGATCGGGGAGAACTTGGGGAGATGGGAGCCCTGGGCAGAGGGAATAGGAAGAGGGGGGAGAACTTGGGGAGATGGGAGCCCTGGACAGAGGGTGTAGGAAGAGGGGGGAGAACTTGGGGAGGTGGGAGCCCTGGGCAGAGGGAGTAGGAAGAGGGGGGAGAACTTGGGGAGATGGGAGCCCTGGGCAGAGGGGAGTAGGAAGATCGGGGAGAACTTGGGGAGATGGGGGCCCTGGGCAGAAGGAGTAGGAAGAGGGGGGAGCACTTGGGGAGATGGGAGCCCTGGACAGAGGGGAGTAGGAAGATCGGGGAGAACTTGGGGAGATGGGAGCCCTGGGCAGAGGGAGTAGGAAGAGGGGGGAGAACGTGGGGAGATGGGAGCCCTGGGCAGAGGGAGTAGGAAGAGGGGGGAGAACTTGGGGAGATGGGAGCCCTGGGCAGAGGGGAGTAGGAAGATCGGGGAGAACTTGGGGAGATGGGGGCCCTGGGCAGAGGGAATAGGAAGAGGGGGGAGAACTTGGGGAGATGGGAGCCCTGGGCAGAGGGTGTAGGAAGATTGGGGAGAACTTGGGGAAAGAAGCAGGGAGAAGCCAAGGTAGCAGCAGCCCCAGAGGAGGGGTCAGCACGTCCGGGGCGGGTGACATGAGGGTGAGGCTCAGCCGGGGGTCTGAGGGTTGCTAGGGAGGGGATCTTGGGAGGGGCTGTTGGGGGAGGAGTGGGGTCCTGGGGGCTGCCCCGCCCAGCCTTACCCGTGTACTTTGTCCCTCCAGGAGATGGTAACCTGCACCTCAATGTGACGGCGGAGGCCTTCAGCCCGTCGCTCCTGGGTGCCCTGGAGCCCCACGTGTACGAGTGGACGGCCAGGCAGCAGGGCAGTGTCAGCGCAGAGCACGGCGTGGGCTTCAGGAAGAGGGATGTGCTGGGCTACAGCAAGCCACCCGAGGCCCTGCAGCTCATGCAGCAGCTCAAGGCCCTGCTGGACCCCAAGGGCATCCTCAACCCCTACAAGACGCTGCCCAGCCAGGCCTGACGGCCACTCCCACTGCTGCCAAGGCCCGCTGGGGGTCAGCGGATGGCTCTCGGGCGGGAGCGTAGGCAGTGGCTCTGAGTGATGAGCCGGCAGTGGGCGGGGGACCAGGCACCTAGTCGGAGGGACTGGGAGCCCGCACTGGGGAACTGCTGGACGCAGGCCCTCGGGCAGGAGCATCTGGCAGAGCGGGGAACGCCGCAGGCTCCCTCCTTTGCAGGGAGAGGTGGGGCCTCTGCGGCCATCCTGGACTGGCCAGGGTGGAAGCGGGGCTGGGTCTCAGTTGCCTGGTGGTGGTCCCTGGCTCCACCTTGCCTGCTGCAGCCCGGGGAGCTGGCACTGGGTGGTTCTTCCGCCTATTTGCTGCTGGTTCCCCGGGCAGTGCGTGGGCAGCGGGGGGCTGTGGGCAGGACCACGTGGGCCGTGATCGTGGGTTGCCGAGATGACCGGAGCGCTATGGCTCTGCTGAATGGAGCAAGGCCCCTCAGGCCGTGGACGCCCTCGGGAGGGGTGACTGTGGCTTGTGTCTGGGCCTGAGTGACAGGAACGTGTCATTGCCCCCGTCTTCTAGAGGCTGCCGGCTGGGAAGACAGTTATCAGGGCGAGCTGTGCTCTGAGTCTCAGGTTCTGCTTCTGTGAAGAACGTGGTGCTGTGGGCGAGGGCCCCGGCGCGGACAGGAGCCCCTGCAGGGTGCGTTTCTGCTCGTCAGCCGCCCCGGGTAGCGGATGGGCTGGGCGATGCAGCTGGACGCACATCTCTTTCTGTCATGAACGTCCAGTAAATATCTGAATTGGTTACAACCTTCTCTTTGCTTCTGTTACTGGAAATCATCTTGCAAAGCCCGTCATGAAGGGCCTGTGCATCCCGTTTGCAACCCCCGGACCCCTGGGCCATGGTGTGGCCGGGCCTGACGCTACTGTGACTGTCACTGTGCCCCCTGTCCCCATGCACTGTCCTGGTGGCAACTGAGCTCCCACCGGCTTCACAGAGCAGGCCTGGGCATGGAACGGGCACCTTGTAACCCTTGGTGGTCCTGGAGGCCCTCGGTGGGTATACCTGACCAAGGTGGATCCGTGGGCCCCTCCTGTCTCTGTGGGCGTCTAGGATCTCGGATCCTGCTCATAGGGGGAAAAGTACCTCTGACTCACCGCCCTGCAGAGCCCGCCTGCCCAGCTGGGGCCTCTGTGGACCAGCCACATCCTCCTGGTGGAGGTTCTCGGGGGTGGGGTGGGGGCCTTCATCCAGCATGATTTTTTTTTTTTTTGAGACAGGATCTCACTCACCCAGGCTGGAGTGCAGGGGTACAGTCAGCTCAGTGCAGCCTCAACCTCCTGGGCTCAAGTGATCCTCCCACCTCAGCCTCGTGAGTAGCTGGGAGTACAGGTGTGAGCTGTCATGCCCAGATAATTTTTTTTTTTTTGAGACAGAGTCTCACTCTGTCACCCAGGCTAGAGTGTGATCTCGGCTCACTGCAAGCTCCGCCTCCCGGGTTCACGCCATTCTTCTGCCTCAGCCTCACAAGTAGCTGGGACTACAGGCACCTGCCACCACGCCCGGCAAATTTTTTGTATTTTTAGTAAAGATGGGGTTTCACCACGTTAGCCAGATGGTCTCGATCTCCTGACCTCATGATCTGCCTGCCTCGGCCTCCCAAAGTGCTGGGATTCCAGGCGTGAGCCACCACGCCTGGCCATGCCCAGATAATTTTTAAATTTTTTTTGTAGAGATGAGGTCTCCCTGTGTTGCCCAGGCTGGTCTTGAACTCCTGGCCTCCAGCAGCCTCCCACCTCAGCCTCCCAAAGTGTTGGAATTACAGGCCTCTGGTAGCCCTTTTTTTTTTTTTTTTTTTTTTAACTCCTCTGTCCCCGGGGGGGGCGATCCAGCCACGCCCCCCCCCCCCCCCCTCCCCCTTACTCACGCCCCCCCCCGGCAGTTTTTTTTTTTTAGAAGGTTCACCGGTTAGCAGGTTCTCTCCTGACTGGCCCCCCTCCCTCCCAAGTGGGATTACGGCTGAGCCCGCGCCCGCCGACCCAGCTTTTAAGGCACAAATGAGGGGCACTTTCATGCCCCTCACGCTGGCCCAGCAGAACCAGTGGGTTCCAATGCCTGAGCTGCTCCCTGCTGTGCCTGGGGGCACCTGGGGCTGTCCTGCCTCTCTGGCCAAGGCCCGGCTCTGTCCCTGAGCTATGGCCACTCTTCTGCCATCCCAGGCTGGGTTACCCATGGGCAGCCCTACAGTATCTGTTGCACAGAGCAGAACTTAGGCTGCATGGGTGCCTGACACAAAGCCCCAGAGCATGTGCCCGTGTGCCCCGAGGTCAGCCAGTAGCTCCTGCCCTTCCCTCTGACCTCTGGTTGGGGGCTGGCCGTTTTTCCGCTTGTTCCTCCAGCTCTGCTACTGGGCACGTGGTCCCTGCTGGGTAGGCTGCAGGCCAGGGTGACTTGCTGACCTTCTGACCCTGGCTGTGCACCTGCCGTCCTGTCCTGGGTGGCTGCTCCTGGCCCAGGGGTGGCTTGGGGGCTTTCAAGTTTCTGCCCATGCTGGCCGCACAACCCCACATCCCACCCCTGGGTAGGGACCTGTGATTCTCAGACCTGGGGTCCATCGCCCTCTTAAGGGCCCCCTCTGCCCTGGCCATGGTCTAAATGCTCACTCCTGTTGTTGGAGAGGCCAGCCGGGTGACAGGGAAAAGCCCAGAGCCCCAGGCTTCCTGTGAGGATCTGGGCTCAGCACGGGCTATGGTACAGAGGCCTGGCCTGGCCTGCTAAGGGACACCGGCTGGCCTGCAGAGGGCGGAGGGGGAATTTCTCCCTCTAGTGCCCTCTGGACCCTGGGAGAGCAGGACCTCTGTGTCCACACTGCCTGCCGCTGGGCCTCTGGGGACTGGGGAAGCAGACACAGTCCCAGGACTGTTGCGGGAGGAAGAGGCTGTGGCTGCTCTTTCCCAGGGATCTGGCTCCAGGAGGCTCCGGTGACCATTGGGCTGGAGCAGACCAGTGCCGGGCACGTCCTGCCAGTGCCAGCCCCGCCGCCAGCCATGGGCACTTGTTCCTGGAGCTCCGTGGCTGGGTCCCACCATCTCCACTGCTGCCCTGCCCTGCCATGTTCACCTCCAGTTTATCCAGCAATGGGGAGGGGCTTCTTAGAACCCCCTCAGGCTTTCCTTTTGTGCCTTTAGATGATGTGAAATACAGCACAGCCAGGCAAAGCAGGTGCCAGAGACACCTGGCTGGCCCGAGGAACGGCCTGTCTGCCGTGGGGAAAACCCACACCGCGTGGTGGCCGGGAGGCCAGGAGTGTTCGCATGCCGGAAACCTGTTGTGTTTCTCTACCTGACAGGAAAATCTGGTAAGACCCGGTCACATCCAGGCGGACTGTGTGCCTCACAACCCGCAGGTTAACAGACTCCGAGTGACTGATGCGGGAGAGCTCGGTGAATCTGCATGAGGCCGCCGGCCTTGGTGCCCCGAGACAGCTCCCCCAGCGGCCACGTGACGGTGATGCGTGTCTGTGGTCAGGTGTGTGCAGAGTTCTGCACCGCCCGACCTCCCAGCCGGAGGCTCTGACAAGACCTGCGTCCACACGGAAGGAGCAGTGCAGAGCCCAAGTGTGTGGGGAGGAAGGCGGGTTCTGACCCCATCCTTCTGCAGCGGCTCCGGCCAGGGTGGTTGCGACGGGGGAGGTGCTGAGGGGGGCCTTTGTGTTTGGATTAGAAGCTGGCGATCGTCACATTAAGACCTCTAAGCTGCTGCAACGTGAGAAGATGTTACACAACCAGGGCCCTGGGCTGAGGCTGAGCAGGGGGCCGGGGAGTGGCGGGAGGGGCCCCAGGCAGGGCCAGAGCTGCCTGTGTACAGCAGGGGAGAGGGGAGAAGTTGCAGGCCTGGTGGTCTCAGCCCCAGGGAGAGTGCAGTGTCGGGGAGGACACTGCCCGTCCCTTCACTCCCGCAGGACGGCTGGCCCCTGGGAGGGCCCCTGGGGGAGCCAGTTTCCTATAAGCAGAAGGGCAAGTGGTTGGGATCCAGGGGTGTCTGACGGTTGTGGACTCAGGCCCCAGAGGAAGGGTTTGGGATTTGGGGCTCCTGTGACCCCGCAGGTCCCTGAAGATGTCCATCAGGACCCTGGCTGTGTGGAGGTGTAGGGTCCAGCCCTACAGGGCTTAGCGGGTGTTTTCCCTGTGTGTGGAGATGAGAGATTGTGATAAATAAAGACACAAGATAAAGAGAGAAAGAGAAAGCAGCTGGGCCCTGGGGACCACGACCATCAAGACGTGGAGACTGGTAGTGGCCCCGAACGGCTGGGCTCGCTGATATTTACTGCATCCAAGACAAGGGGGCAGGGTAAGGAGGGTGAATCTTCTAAGTGATTGACAAGGTGAAGTCAGTCATGTGATTACAGGATGGGGGCCCTTCCCTTTTCGGTAGCTGAAGCAGAGAGAGAAGGCAGCATACGTCGGCGTTTTCTTCTCTGCACTTATAAGAAAGATTAAAGACTTTAAGACTTTCACTATTTCTTTTACCGCCGTCTACTACGAACTTCAAAGAGGAAGCAGGAGTGCGGGAGGAGCATGAAATGCAACGAAGAGTAATATTAAAAGCTAATGATTAATAATGTTTATAATAATGATTGATAATTGTCCATGATCATCTCTATATCTAATTTGTATTATGACTATTCTTATTCTAGCTATTTTCTTTATTATACTGAAACAGTTTGTGCCTTCAGTCTCTTGCCTCAGCACCTAGGTGCTCTCACCCACATGGAGGCAGAGGTGGCAGGCGTGCAGGGCAGCGTGCCCGGACCCAGATGGCAGGCACGTCACTGACCAGTGACCGGGGCTCTGCCCACCTGGCCCGGCGCGTTGGCCCCCTCGCTATGCGGCTTTGCGCTGGCTGCTTTCCTGAGTCATCAGGGTTTAGGCCCTATTCTGCTGCCTCTGAGCGCCTGTGACCTGCCAAGGCCTCTACCCTCGGCCTGGGTCCCTTGGGGTGTCGCTGACTGACTGGGACCCTGAGGCTGCCCGTGTGGTAGGTGTGTCCACCCCTACACCCACCCAAGCAACGCAGAGGAATGAAAAATAATGCCTCGAGGAGCTGGTCCAGGGCCGGGAGCAGTGGCTGACGCCTGGAATCCCAGCACTTCGAGAGGCCGAGGTGGGAGGATTGCTTGAGCCCAGGAGTTTGAGAACAGCTTGGGCACACATGGTGAGACTGTCTCCACAAAAAATTAAAAATAGCCAGGTGTGGTGGCACGCACCTAGAGTTCCAGCTACAGAAGGTGGCACGCACCTAGAGTTCCAGCTACAGAAGGTGGCACGCACCTAGAGTTCCAGCTACAGAAGGTGGCACGCACCTAGAGTTCCAGCTACAGAAGGTGGCACGCACCTAGAGTTCCAGCTACAGAAGGCTCTTACAGGGGAGGCGGGACAAGCCTGAGCTCAGGAGGTCGAGGCTACGGGGAACCCCAGGTGATTGTACCACTGCAGTCCAGCCTGGGTGACAGAGCGACGCCATCTCTCAGGAAAAAGAAAAAGGAGCTGGTCAGGGAGGCCTAGAGCAAATAGCTGCTAGAATGTGGCACTGCCCAGGGCGGGGAGGGCTGGGGGGCCTTGAGGTGGACCAGGAGCCTGAGTTGAGGGTTGGGGGCAGGTGGAGGGACCGGGAGGCCCGGGGCTGTCTTAGGAGAGCCCTCCTGACACCTAGGCCCTGGGCCGGGTTCCTCCTGGTGGAACATCCCAGACCTGAGCCCTCCCGCTCACTTTTCCCTGGACCTACATGCAAGGAGCTGCGGCAGCCGTCTGCCCCCAGGCTGAGGCCCCAGGACAGGCCCCTCCTCACTTTGGTGGCGGTCAGACCCAGGGCGGGTGCAAGCCCTTGGCAATGCTCCCCGACACTGCCCCTTGGACCTCAGGGGTGTGGGGAGGACAGACCAGGGCAGGACCCAGGAGGCCACGAGGGTGGGTGGGAGTCACGGTCCTGGCAGCCCCACATTCAAGGGCTCTGCCCTCCTGTACCCACCCCCGGAGGGGGAACCTCTTGAGGGATCATGGGCCCTGTCTCCCCGCCTGCGCTTCTGGGAGATCAAGAGTAGCTGTGAAATTTCTAGAAGTGCCCGACCTGGCGGACGGGCATGGAGGCAGCTCCTGGGTGTGCCCTGGCACGGCCTGACAGGGCTGGAGTCCTGATGGGCTGTGGGTAGGTCCTCAGACGGCCTCCCGGCTCCTGCCTCACCCCCTCCCCACGGGCCCTGTGCCAGCGGCAGGTCCTCAGACGGCCTCCCGGCTCCTGCCTCACCCCCTCCCCACGGGCCCTGTGCCAGCGGCAGGTCCTCAGACGGCCTCCCGCTCCCCCCCTCCCCACGGGCCCTGTGCCAGCGGCAGGTCCTCAGACGGCCTCCCGGCTCCTGCCTCACCCCCTCCCCACGGGCCCTGTGCCAGCGGCAGGTCCTCAGACGGCCTCCCGGCTCCTGCCTCACCCCCTCCCCACGGGCCCTGTGCCAGCGGCAGGTCCTCAGACGGCCTCCCGGCTCCTGCCTCACCCCCTCCCCACGGGCCCTGTGCCAGCGGCAGGTCCTCAGACGGCCTCCCGGCTCCTGCCTCACCCCCTCCCCACGGGCCCTGTGCCAGCGGCAGGTCCTCAGACGGCCTCCCGGCTCCTGCCTCACCCCCTCCCCACGGGCCCTGTGCCAGCGGCTGTGAAAACAGAGGCCAGGAAGCGAGGTGGTGCTCCCTTTGTTTCTGGCAAAGCATGTGGCACCTGGAGCCACCTTCCGGGTTCACGGCCCTGGGGCCCTGGGGACGGAGGGAACGGGGTGCACAGTGGCCAGGGATGTTCAGCGTCACCGGTGGAAGGGGTGATACCCGTTCTTCCTGGTGTTGAGGGTTTGTGCCTTGACTCCGGAAAGCAGAGACTGTGGAGCAGGGCCCACTTCAAAGCACAGGGCTGGGGGCTGTGACCTTGGCCCTCTGTGGACAAGGGAAAGGTGGGTGGCCCTGGACTGGTGAAGGACTGGCCAGGAGGAGTTCTGTAGGGGCCCCCCTCCTGCCAGCCCCCAGCCCACAGTTGACCATTGCCTGCCCTGGAGCAGGAGACTTCCTTCCTGCTGCCCCGGACCTGGGATCTGAGACCCAGAAGCCGACTCCATCCTTTGTCTGTTCTGTTCTGAGGCTACCCCTGCCCCTACCTCCAGGTGGCCCTGGGCTTGCCTGACCACCCGCCTGCAGTGTTGGCTGAAGAGGGTAACATGCTTGCGCCCTGCTGGCTGCTGCTGGCTGCTCCCGGCTGCTCCCCGGTGGCTCCCTAGCGGCTCCCTGGTGGTGCCCTGACTGTGCCCCGCTGGCCTTGGGTCTGGTGGGCGTAGCCCTCCTGATGGCACCAGGTCACACGCTGGAGCACGTGGGCCTCGCGATGCTGATGGAGGCGGGTTCCTGGGCATGTGGAGCTGTCCCTTACACGAAGCACCTGAGGGGCCTCCGACCAGCCGGCCCCCCCACCCCAGGGGTTAGGGCTCTGCCATGGGGGTGTGGGCATCTGCTCTGACAAATGACATGTGCATTTGATTGGTGTTGGGGTCCGTGCCAGGGGTGGTGGAGAATGAAAAAACACACAAAAGACAAAGACACACAGAGAACATGGCGGCCGCGCTCAGAGCCTCTGCCTCACTTTATTTATACCCCATAAACCCCACGTCAGCAGAAAGAATGCAATGCAAAACAAACTTTCTTTTCCCACATGTAACCTTCTATTCAGTTCCTTGTTTCTATGCTCTTCCTTATCTGCCCGCCTTCTTGGCGCCTACGGGAGTTCATTAAAAGTTCAATTGGAGATACTGTCCTTGAGCCCTATCTATTCTCAGCATACTGTTTTCAAAGGCCCCTGCATTTCCCCCTTTTTGTTTTTGTTTTGCCTCAATCCTAAAAAGGTAGCCCATATTTGTTCCTGTGTTTTCTTTTGTTTTTGGAGGCGACGGAGGGAGCATCGAATCACCAAAAGAAGTAGACCCAATCCAAGTTCCCAAAGCAATATACTTCCAGAGATTGTAGAAATCCATGTTTTCATCTGGGTCCATGGGTTAAAGGCAGCAAGGCACTGACCCAGCTTCTGCAGGGTTACGGTTCCAGACAACACATGTAATTGTTGTCGAAATGCTTCGGAAATGTTCTGAGTGAGCTCTTGGATGTCCAAACTAATATTTTTATGGCCTACTAATAATTTTCAGATTTCGGTCCAATTCTGAGAGATATTAAAAGGCACAGGCGTTACACAAAATTGAGTGGAGTTCCAATCACATTGTAATGTCATCCGAGTACTGAGGACAGTGAGCTGATCTCCAAGCCATGTCAATGCTTGCTCCATGTTGTCCAATCTTTCAGCAAGTTGAGAATCAATGTTTCGTTGTTGAAGCCATAACCGGTGAGATTGTTCGTGCCATTGCTGCATAAATTCAGCATTTTGTATGCTTTGATGAAGAGCGAGCCCTGCTACGGCCGCAGTGGAGATGATGGCGACAAGGCTCATCACCGAGGCAATTATAAGTCCAAGGGCACGGAGGGTTCGCTGGAGAGAAGTCCAAGTATAAGTTTCAAGAGGTGATGCCCCCCATGGTTGCGTAAGGTTAACAGGTAGCCAAATTTCCTTACGAGCCCTGAGGATATAAATATCCCCAGTAAAGTTGTGCCACCAGGAATGATTGAGGCAAGACAAAAATGTACACGTATCTGTACAATTAACAATTCCCATATTATTATCACATGTCAAATTCCCCGCTAATAATAGGTAGGGCTTATGGACACAAGCAATAATATATCGGGAGGTATTCCGATATAACTGAATATGAAAGGAGTTATTTGGGTTAGAAAGATTAAGGGACATATTCCCCACAAAAGTGCTAATGGCATTGCCTGCAGCTAACAACTTCCAAAGATGACTCTGTACTTCAGGCCTCCTTCACGCCATACCAAGGTTTCATTATTGTTAGCAGCAATACTTTTATTTACCCGGTGCCATTTCAAAGGTATGTGACTAAATTTTGTTTGAAAATCACCGTGCACACTCCAATCAGTTATTTACATTCCATTGTATTCTAATAAAATCCGGGGTTTAGTTCCCCGACATTGTTGTCACTCCAGCACCTCAATATTAGGAGAAACCTCTAGAATAGGACAAAAAAGTAAAGAACTAGGAATAGTTTCATTACTATATACAGTATGATTATATTAAAAGCTTCTAGTTACAATAATAACAGTTTTAGCAGCCACATGACTATGATTATAATGAACAGCCCAAGCTTCATGCGATCTTCGGAGACAATGAGACTATTTCCCATACATATTGGAAGTCCTTCCACTCCAAATTGGTATGTGCTGATTATAATTGCTGTTTCCCGTTCTATATTGTCCTTGTCTATATAGGGGGACGGCATCCAAGTGTCATTGGTGAAAATCTTAATTTCTGCCTCCCCCCAGGCGACTCCCTGATACAAGGGCGGAAAGGGAATATAAGTCCAACATTCATACAAAGCCTCACTAAGAGAAATAAGTCCCCCGCCGAGGCACATCTAACAAAGGAAGAAACGCATGCTGAATCCAGTTTTCTTTTCAACAGGGTTTCAATCATCTTGTAGGAAACCACTCAGGTCCGCTCCCTGTAAGGACAAGAGCATAGCCCCGTCCCTGTTTTAGAACTTGCCCTTGAACATACTTACCTTCTTCATTAGGATACCAAACCTTTCAATTGTCAGCGGGGACTATCACCGAGGGAGGTGAGGAAAGATGGGTTATGGCAGCGGAATCTTGCAATTGTCTCCATTGATTCAAAAAAATTAAGGTAAAAAGAACCTTCAAAATCTGGTTTCTGGGAGGCTCATTTCCCCCTTTTTGTTTTAGTAGTTGAGTTTTTTTGTTTTGTTTTGTTTTGTTTTGTTTTTTTGAGACAGAGTCTCGTTCTGTTGCCCAGGCTGGAGGGCAGTGGCCGGATCTCAGCTCACTGCAAGCTCCGCCTCCCGGGTTCACGCCATTCTCCTGCCTCAGCCTCCCGAGTAGCTGGGACTACAGGTGCCCACCACCTCGCCCGGCTAGTTTTTTTGTATTTTTTAGTAGAGACGGGGTTTCACCGTGTTAGCCAGGATGGTCTCGATCTCCTGACCTCATGATCCGCCCGTCTCGGCCTCCCAAAGTGCTGGGATTACAGGCTTGAGCCACCACGCCCAGCCTAGTAGTTGAGTTTTTAAAGTTAAATTTGCGTGCTCAATGATGGCTTGACCTTGACTGTTGCCCGGGATACCGGTGATATGTTGAATATTGTATTGCTGTAAGAAAACTTGTAATTTATGAGAGACATAGGCAGGGGCATTATTAGTTTTAAGTATAAGAGGAATGCCCATGATGGCGAAACAAACCAAGAGATGTGTAATAACAGAATCAGCTTTCTCAGATGGCAACGGAGTGGCCCATTGAAAATGAGAAAAGGTATCAATGGTATGATGAACATACTTTAATCGTCCAAAAGAAGGGCCATCTCAGGGATTAACCCCAGGATGGAAGGATGGAATGCTCAAAGGAGCACAGGAAAGACAAGCTCGAATAAGAGAACGAGCTTGTTTTGTTCTGCAGCATGTAGGTGGCCGATTAAAAGCGAATCAATCTGAGTATTACCATGAACTAATGGTCCAGGAAATTGAGAATGAGAACAAAGATGAGTGATGAATAAAGGAGCTCGATGTTGGCTCAAAGTAGAAGATAACAAGGAAAAGAGTTTTTGAAGAGAAGAAGTAGCACAAAGAGGTAAAGTGGCCTGAGAAATATAAGAAGTAACATAAATGGCGTATTGAGAATCACTAACAATGTTACAACCAGTAGTAGGGAAATCAGTTAAGACCATGAGAATAGCAAACAGTTCTCCCTGTTGCACCGAGGGATAAGGATAAACTGTAACTCGAGATTGATGAACACTCCAATATCCAGCCTTACCATTGCTACTAGCATCAGTAAAAAAGGTAGGACCTTGAACAGGAAATACAGAAATTGGTGAGAAAGGCAACACAGAATGTTGTCTAAAAAATGAAAAGATCGGAGACTTAGGAGATTGGGTAGAAAATTGTCCAACAAAAGAAGCGCAAGCAACTTGCCAAGAATCAGAAGTTGCAAGAAGATAAGTGATCTGATTATGAGTGAATTGAGGAATAATTAAGGAAGGATCTCCTCCCCAAAGTTGTCGACAGTGACGCCGTCCTTTGATGATCAGTTCAGCTAAATGATCGATATAAGTAGCCAAGCGTTTAGATATTTTATTGGACAAAAAGATCCATTTTAGTGGTCGACTAGTTTGATGAATCATTCCTGTGGGAGAAGGTAAAGTATGAAACAAACAAAAGGAAGGGCCTTTTGAAGTTGCTCTTCAACAAGCTGGAGTTCCTGTAAAGCCAAAGGAGTTAAATGACGTGAGTTGTCCAAGTGACTGTCTCCTTCTAGAATAGAAAAAAGATGTTATAACTGATATGTTGGTATTCCTAAAACAGGACGCATCCAATTAATGTCTCCTAGAAGCTTTTGAAAATCATTTAATGTTTTTAAATGATCACGTCGAATTTGAATTTTTTGGGGTCGAATATTTTGTGTTCTTAAGGTATAACCTAAATATTGAATAGGAAAATCCAGTTAAATTTTTTCTGTGGCAATATTAAGTGAGTAGAAAGAAAGTTGAGTTTGTAATGATACAAAAGCATCTTGCTGCTTTTGTCTGGTGGGTGCAGCAAGAAGAATGTCATCCATATAATGATATAAAAAAACAGAAGGATGATGCTTTTGAACAGGATCCAAGGCCCTATGGACAAATTCTTGACACAAGTAGGGCTATTTAACGTACCTTGAGGTAAAACTTTCCATTGATATCGAGAAAGTGGCTGAAAATTATTAAAAACAGGGACAGAGAAGATCCATACAATGATAAATTAACACAGTTAGAAACTGATTGTTTACAGGATTTAAAGTCCTATGTATGAATTTTTGACATATAGTAGGGCTATTAAGTATACCCTGGGGAAGAAGCTTTTGCTGATATTTTTGAATAGGTTGTCCGTTATTATATTTAGGAATAATAAAGGCAAACTTTTTACAATCTTGAGGTTGTAATGGAATAGAGAAAAAACAATTTTTGAGATCTATGACCATTAATTTTTAACTTTCTGGGATAAGGGCAGGATTAGGAAGACCGGGCTGTAAACTTTCCCTAGGTTGAATGTAAACATTTATAGTTTTAAGAACAAGACAAAGACGGGAATTCCATGCAGAAGTACGTGGCTTTAGATTCCTCTCGGCCATTTGTTTTTTGACTTACTCTTTTAAAATCCTAAGTATTTCTTTAGATAATGGCCACTGTTTCACCTAAAGAGGAGTGGTCATTTTACACTTTAATTATAAAACTTGAGGCTGGTGAACAGTGGCTATGAGTTTAAAGGATTGTAGCCCATTTTGAACATCATATTTTTGACAGCTGAGGAAATATGAAGAATGTTTAAAAAAGCACCAAATTGTTATGAAAGATTTTGTCCCCAAAGATTAATATTGATAGGAATAATATAAAAAAACACTTGACCTTGTTGACCTTTAGGACCGACACAGGTTAAAGGTTCTACGTT